TCCCCAACACAGCGATGCAACAGTTTTTCCTCTTCCCCAGAATATGTGGAGCTGTTCACACTTCTGTGCTTTTTTTTCCCCACACCTTCTTTTCCTCTTCCCCAGAACATGTGGAGCTGTTCACACTTCTGTGCTTTTTTTTTCACACCTTAAAACCCACAGCCCCTTTGCTACCCAGTGAACTCTATTCATCCTTCAAGACCCAAAGTAAATTAAACTCTGAATTAATCTCTAAATTGTCTCCATCAGAATGAATTTCTTACTCATTTGTGGTCCCATGGAATCCGGCCACCACACTCCAGCCTGGGTGACAGAGCGAGACTCCGTCTCAAAAAAAAAAAAAAAAAAAAAAAAAAAAGAAGAATCTTCTATATATAAGTATATCATTTCCTTTTTTTTTTTTTTTTTTCCCTTTTTTTGAGATTGATTTCGCTCTTGTTGCCCAGGCTGGAGTGCAATGGCATGATCTTGGCTAAGTGCAACCTACGCCTCCCAGGTTCAAGTGATTCTCCTGCCTCAGCCTCCCAAGTATCTGGGATTACAGGCCTGCGCCACCACATCAGGCTAATTTTGTATTTTTAGTACAGACAGGGTTTCTCCATGTTGGTCAGGCTGGTCTTGAACTCCCAACCTCAGGTGATCCGCCCACCTCAGCCTCCCAAAGTGCTGGGATTATAGGCTTGAGGCACCGCGCCCGGCCCACCATTTCTTCTGTGCATTATAAGTCTCTGTACAGTGCCACCTCCACTGTGTTTTGTTCATCTTTGATTTTTCTTTCAGAAAAATTATATAGTAATAGCTAGTATTTACTCAACATTTACTCTTTGCAATGCACTTTTAATATATTCTAGTCCTCACAACAATTCTGTAGGTGAGGTATCACTGCCTCCATTATTCAGAGGAAGAAACTGAGACTCAGAGGACACACAACATGCCTAGGATCACACTGCCAGTAGACAGAAAAACTGAGATGCAAACCTGAGATACGTATCTACTGGAATCCAAAAGTCCATGTTCTTGCCACTAAGCTTCTTGTGGTTTACACAACAGACAAGAAAGGATGCATATTGTATTGTATGTTACTCCGCTGGGGCTGCTATGACAATTCCATAGCCTGGGAGGCTTAAACAACAGATATTTATTTTCTCACAGTTCTGGAGGCTTGGAAGTCCAGATCCAGCTGCCAGCCAATTTGGTTTCTAGTGAGAACTCTGTTTCTGGCTTGCAGATGGCTACCTTTTTGCTGTGTCTTCACTCGGTGGAGAGAGTGAGCTGTGGTTTCTCTTCTTCTGACAAGGGCTGTGAACTCCATCATTGGGACTGCACCCTTGTATCTTAATCTAAACCTACTTACCTCCTAAAGATACCACCTCCAAATACCATTAGGATTCCTTGTAGTAAACAAAAATTATAGGAGGCCATTAGGCTCCTATAATATGACATATGAATTTATATATATACATATTCATATAACATATGAATTTTGGGAAGACGCACAATGCACATGTTGGCAAGAATTATGAGACCTAAGTTTTAGTACCAGTTTTATCACTGATCATGTGATGTTGGAAAAGTCACTTGACAATCTTGAAACGAGCCCATTTCCTTGTAAGGAAAACGAGAGGGTTGGACTAGATAATCTCCAACTCATGTTCTGGTTCTAAAAATTCTGATTCTGTGTGCCATCTTGCAACCACTGAAACTCAGATATACCACTTCAGAGCATACTGTTTGGTGATGATCTGAAATCTCAACACAGAGCTGTATGGTGATGCTACCATATCACACTACCATGGGCAGGTACCTCCCAGGAGCGTGAGCTCTTGAACCATTAGAGCAGTTCCTTCGGGCCAGGCCAGGCGTCCCCAATTCTCCCTGACTGCATGCTTTGTGAGAAGGTACCCAACACATGAACTTTGACACTGCCTTCGTCCTACACAAGCCATCCACATCACCTACCTAATAAGAAATACTATCTGGCCGGGCGCGGTGGCTCAAGCCTGTAATCCCAGCACTTTGGGAGGCCGAGACGGGCGGATCACGAGGTCAGGAGATCGAGACCATCCTGGCTAACACGGTGAAACCCCGTCTCTACTAAAAAATACAAAAAACTAGCCAGGCGAGGTGGTGGGCGCCTGTAGTCCCAGCTACTCGGGAGGCTGAGGCAGGAGAATGGTGTAAACCCAGGAGGCGGAGCTTGCAGTGAGCTGAGATCCGGCCACTGCACTCCAGCCTGGGTGACAGAGCAAGACTCCGTCTCAAAAAAAAAAAAAGAAATACTATCTGTGGTCAGGCGCGGCAGCGGCTCACGCCTGTAATCCCAGCACTTTGGGAGGCCGAGGTGGGCGGATAACGAGATCAGGAGTTCGAGACCATCTTAACCAACACGGTAAAACCCTGTCTCTACTAAAAATACTAAAATTAGCCGGGCTTGGTGGCGCGTACCTGTTATCCCAGCTACTCAGGAGGCTGAGGCAGGAGAATCACTTGAATCTGAGAGGCACAGGTTGTAGTGAGCTGAGATCGTGCCACTACACTCCAGCCTGGGCGACAGAGGGAGACTCCGTCTCAGAAAAAAAAAAAAAAAAGAAAAAAAAAAAAGAAATGCTATGTGCACAGTGCCAGGCATTGGTTAATTTTTTTAAGCATTCACAAACACTGTCTCCTAACTGGCCTCCTCCCTTCAATGAATTCCATAGGTTGCCAGGTGAACTTTCCTGAAGCACAGGCAGCCAGTTCTGATCGTGCCATTAAGTAACCTTTTTTTTGTTTGTTTCCTAGCATTTTATTTCTTATACAATAAAGTCAAACTTCCTTCATCTGGCTTATAAGGTCTTATGTGTTCTAGCTTCAACCAGTTTCTCCAACCCCTTTTTCTCTACTATTCAGAAAACTTGCATTCCAGGCAAAATAAACTACCTATGGTTTCCTGTAGCATATTTTTTACATTAACATAATTTCTAACAATATTCTAAATCATTCTAAAATGTCAGCCAGGTGTAGTGGCTCACACCTGTAATCCCAGCACTTAAGAGAGGCGAAGGGGGCAGATCACTTGAGGTCAGGAGTTCAAGACCACCCTGGCCAACATGGTGAAACCCCACCTCTACTAAAAAAACACAAAAATTAGCAAAGTGTGGTGGCGTACACTTGTAGTCTCAGCTACTAGGGAGACTGACGCAGGAGAATCGCTTGAACCTGGGAGGCAGAGGTTGTAGTGAGCTGAGATTGCACCACTGCACTCCAGTCTGGGTGACTCTGTCTTAAAATAAAATGTAGAACATGCTTCCCTAATAGCACACATTTTGTTTATGCAGTAGGTTTATGCAGTTCCTTGTATTAAACAAAATTATAGGAGGCCATTGTTTTGAACTTCTGTACGAGACCCCAACAGACCAGACTAAAATAAAAATGGAATCACTCGGCCGGGCGCGGTGGCTCACGCCTGTAATCCCAGCACTTTGGGAGGCCGAGGCGGGCGGATCACAAGGTCAGGAGATCGAGACCACGGTGAAACCCCGTCTCTACTAAAAATACAAAAAATTAGCCAGGCGCGGTGGCGGGCGCCTGTAGTCCCAGCTACTCAGGAGGCTGAGGCAGGAGAATGGCGTAAACCCAGGAGGCGGAGCTTGCAGTGAGCCGAGATCGCGTCACTGCACTCCAGCCTGGGCGACAGAGCGAGACTCCGTCTCAAAAACACAAACCAAAAAAAAAAAAAATGGAATCACTCACGGTCACCACACCGAAAATGAGTTATCTGGCCCTCCAAGAAATCAGGAGATGGATAACAGGCCAGTTTCAATCTTCAATCAGCAAGATAATGAATTTCCTCTGTTTTAGTCCTTACGGCAAAGAGTAACTTGAAGTGACCTGATGTTAACCTATCAGTTATCTTTCTGTTGTTCTGTCTCCACCTTACCAGGAAAGTAACTTTGAAATGACCAATCTGCTTTTTGTTCTTTGTTTCTGCTTTCTACAGCCCTTTTTTCTGTCCGTAAAGGCAACCTCCTCTGTTCCACTCATTGGGGCATTCATTCCATTTTATGGAATGAAGTGTTGCCTGATTCTAGAATCGCAATAAGGCCAATTGAGATCTTTAGATGTGTCAAATTTTTGTCTTTTGACACTTGTGCTGGTCTGTCTAGAATGCCCTCTTCATTCCACATACCCACATTCTTCAAATGAGCCCACATGGCAGATGCCCAGTGCAGTAACTGACATGTAAGTACTCAATACTATTCAAAGCTGCGTTTTGCCCCTCACACTAGCTATTCCTCTCCCTCTAACCTCAATTTTTTCTATACACCTTTCTTATGTAGCTTATTACTTTCTATTGTACTTAATGTAAATGTCTTAGATTGCCAGAGATCCAAAGCACTGGAAAAATCAGTATTCAGTCTTAGTCCATGTGTACCCAGCACCAAACAAAATTACTGTTTATGGTCAATAAATCTTTCCGTAATGAATGAGAACAAAACTAGTGTTTGAACCAGAATGGTCTCTGGTGGAAACTGACAGCTAAAACTGGACGGGGAGTGGAGCAGAGGTGAAGGAGTACTTAATGAGGCCCTACTATGAGCCAGGTACTGTGCAGAGCACAGCTTCATCCTTTGTTTCATTTAATCCTTTCCAAAAAACCGTATGAAGCAGCAGTAACAATTTCATCTCCATTTTACATATGAGGAGTTTGGGTTAGGGAAGTCAGGAAACTTGCCTGAGGTCACAACCAAGTATGTTTGGGTCTTTCCAGTACTGCACTTGTCGCATGTCCTCCTTCCAATTTATCACTCCCCTCCTCTCCCCGACGAAGGTCGAGGACTTTCTAGGAAAACATGCAGCCTCCAACCACTTCCGCCTGGGGAGCCCAGTCTCGCCCTTCGCTGCCAGAACCACACGGAGCGCGCGTGGCGGGAGTGAAGAAGGTGAGCTGCAGTCCGGACGCAAGGCCCCGCCCACTATGTCGCTGGTGACGTCATCACGCAGAGCCGAGTCGGCGCGTCCACATCCTTTAAATATGGTCTTTCCCGGGCGCGCGCGACAATGTGAGGAGTGGGGTGGAGCGTGTGTGGTGTGTGGCTGCGGCCTGGGCAAGAGCCGCCGCGGACCATGAGGTGGGCGGAAAGGCTGTGTTGCAGCCGAGACGCGGACGGGAGGGCGCTGCTGGGCCAGCGGGCGTCCTCATGCAGGGGCGGGAGGAGGGAACATGGCGGCCGGGCCAGGACCCTTTGCTCCTGGCTCTGCGCGGCTCCTACCCCTGCTTTGCTTGCACTTTTACCTGCCTTTCTGGAACTTGTTTCCCCTCTCCTTGTGTCCCCTTTCCCTCAGCCGTTTCTTTTGCCTTCATCGACTCTTCCCCCCGGCTCCACTCTGGGTGGAAGTGTGAGAGGTAGATTAAGTGGGAGCCGGTCGGGCCCGTCCGGTGCCGAGAGACCGACTCCTAAATTTGACTAGGTTCTCGTATGTCACTTTATCAGTCTGCCTGGGATCACAGGAGAAATACTGAACATGAAGACATCAAGCCTGATTTCTAGTCCTGATGATGTCTGTAAGTGATCTTGTGAAATGTCACTTGAGTTGACCTCAGTCTCCTCAAATGTGAGGTTCTCTGAAAGGCCTAAGATTCCTGATGTCGAGGTAGCTTTTGTCATGCGGTGCCTGCCAGAATCTGCCCCAAAACAAAGCATGGTCGGGAAAACAAAAGCAAGATTTATTTTGGCAGTAAAGGAATGGAAAACGGAGTTGACTTCCAGTTCCATGCCATCAAGTGGCCTAGTATGTAAGCAATGAGAACACCATTCTGTTTCAGCTGTTATTTCCATAGTGGGTGTCCTAAGAGTAACACTCCCGGCGTAGATTAAATAGAAAAAGGCTCGTCCTGTATGGTCATTGCTGCTTTGCCACAGAGAACCTTGGGTCTGCTGTATTCTGTTTTAGGTGCCACAGTCTGTTGAGGGTAGATATTTAGGGAGAGATTTTTCCTCACCTAACAGCAGCTAGCCTAGCCAATCGCTTGCTTTTGATCTTGGCCTTTTGTTTTTCCTCAGCTGAGTAAGTTCTGGAGGGATCCTGCCTCTGTTGGAGCCTTCGCAGCCAGGCAGCTGTGAACTGTGAGCTAGAGTGAAGCAGAAATCTAGAAAGATGAGCTCCAAGATGGTCATAAGTGAACCAGGACTGAATTGGTGAGTTGTAGCTACTTTGTAATCCACTGAAGAGGAGTGTAGTGGGGCTGATGGTTGACATAAGAAAATAGATTCCTGGCATAGAGAGATTTGGAGGAAACAGAAGATACAAGTTTAAGGTTTCCGAATTTACGTTATCCTCATCCTCAAATACTGAACGCTAGAGTTATGGCTGACTACACTTCCATTCCTATATTGGAACAACAATTCAGCACTCAAATTCTTTTTAGGTATAATTCCCTCAGGTATTTATTGCTGGTCTCCTGAAGGTCTCTCTCAGGTATTTATTGCTGGTCTCCAGAAGGAGAGATTCTGGAATATTCTTGTGTCCAAGAACCTTGCCCATTTCCATGCAAGTAATAAAAAAGACCCTCTTTAAGAATAGACATGCTTACTCCAGCCTGGGCGACAGAGCGAGACTCCGTCTCAAAAAAAAAAAGAATAGACATGCTTTCTGTTATATTGAAATCTATATCAAATGATAATATGAATGCATAGACTGTGTTTTAGAAGTGAATGAGAACTTTGCAAATAGCCTGGTTAAATATTATAGTGGTTTTGTAGACATCTAGCTAATACATGTGCTGATTTAGTTCATTTTAACACAAATTTACTGAGCCAGCCAAGAAGGATCAAATGTTATAAACGGTTACAAAGAGTATTAAAATAGTACCTGACTCAGAATATTAAGTCAGTATGTTCAATAAGTATTTGTTTACTGCTAGCAATACTCCCGTCCCCAGGGAGCTCACAATCCCTGAGGCCCTTGACTTTGTTTTTATATGATGTGCAGAAACTTAAAAATTTATTGAGATGTCACAGATACAATACCACAACAAGGTAATAAGAAACTATAGTGGTACATAGCAAATAAAACATTCTAATTTTACCATTAATACCTTAGTATGGTTTTTTGGATAAATGCCTTTAAGAACAGTTAAAAGAAGAGTATGGAGCAAATATGCTAGAATTTCCTATTTGGGCACTAGGACACCCAGAAGTTTGATTAGGTAAGAAGTATGCCCATTTGCATTCCTTGCCAGTGCTATGAAGTATGCGTTCAGATGTAGCACAGATGATCTTATATACCGCTGGCGTTGTGGAACCAGTTGTAGTTTAGAACCTTTGCACAATGTTGTAGCCCTTGGAATTATCCTTTTCCACAGAATTTTACTGACCTTTGTCCTCCCTAGATTAATGGATTCAGTGTTTTCCAATTTTTAATTCCTTCATTCAAACAGCATTTTTGGATGCCTAACTATATGGAAAGCATTGAATATATGTTCGTCTCTAAATTAGTTATGGTATTATGAAAAATCATATCACCTTTGAGGTGGTTTTAGCAAACCATTGATTCCATTTGCCAAAGTAAACAAAATAGGTAGGATATGTAGTCTTCATAGTGTCTTTTGGCTCAGCACAGTAGTGCATGAAACAAAAATAAGTTGAGAAGTATTTTCTTTTCAGCAACCAATATCTTAATGTTATGTCCTAGAGCCAGAAGTGAGGCCAGCCTTTGACAGACCCTTGATTATACTTCAGTCTTTTCTATCTTTAACTCTTCAGTCTCTGTGACATTTATTTAATTATGTACTGAAGAAAATGCAGGGCTGATTATTGGAGCTGGAGAATTTCATAATGGGCCTGGGTTTAAAGCTATCAAGAAGTAACAATTCTAAGCCCACAGATCTGATATATGAAATTAAACATAGTAAGGAGAGATTGTCTGGGGATGGGGGGGTAAGAAAGTATGAAATTATAAGTTACAATTGTGCCATTATGTGTCTTAGCATGAGATTTTGAATTGTCCAATGTAAGTAAATTACTTTGTTTCACAGGGATATTTCCCCAAAAAATGGCCTTAAGACATTTTTCTCTCGAGAAAATTATAAAGATCATTCCATGGCTCCAAGTTTAAAAGAACTATGTGTTTTATCCAACAGGTAATATGTTTATTTGGTTATTTATTTCCATATTTGATTGTTGTTTTTCCGATAGTTGAAGTTTGATGTGTATCTCTAATACATTCAAATTATAGAAATGTTTGAATTATAGAAATATTCAAATTATAGAAATGTTTAAAATAAAACAACTTTTAACACTTTGATATTTCTTTTCAGACCTTCAGTCCTTTCTCCACACATGAACTGCAAAACAGTTTTATAGTATTTTATAATACTATGCTAAAGTGTCCCAATAATTTTTATAATGCTATACTGATATAGTATAATAGTATACAAACATTTATACCAATAAATGTTTTAGTGTAGTACCAATATTATACTAATAATTGTTTAGTACTAAATAGTATACTATTTATAACATATGCACATGCACACATACGTACACATGTATGCAATACAAAATAGAATCATACTAAAAATATACTGTAAAACTGTTTTGCAGTTATCTATCATTTAAAGTGATAGTCTGAATATCTTTTCATGCCCCAACATTTAGTTCATATCTTAATGGTTGCATATTACCTCACTATATAGCTTACAGATGTACTTTTAATTCATTTAGCTAGTCCTGTGTTGCAAAACATTGTGTTCCCTTTTTTCTTTTTTTTTTTTTGTAATTAAAAATATATTGGTAAATTTTTATAGTTACTTCTATAAGATACACTCACGGAAATTGAATTGTTTGGTCAGACAATATGTACATTTTGTATTTTGATAGATACTGCCAAATTGCTAAAGGTTTTTTTCCTCTCTGATATTTAATGACTATTAAATGATAATTTTTACTTCTTACTGCTCACTTGCCTGTAGTAGCTCTTCTATCCTTTTTGATCGACTATTTCTACGATGTTGTTAATGAATCCGAAAACCAAGTAATTGAGTTTACTAGAAAAATGTGTAAATACACCAAATGAGGAATTAGGAAATACCCCCAGGGAAGCTCAACATTTACTTTCTTCCTTTCTCCTTTTACAGTGGAGAAAGTGTATCTCCCCATCTTTTCCTGCTTTCTCAGTTATCTTTTCTGTCCGTTGTCCCCTCTTACTCCTCTAACTTTGTTCTCTCCCATTTTCAGTCATCTTGATTACTTTTTGGTTTTTGTTCTGTTTTTTTTAAGAGACGTGGTCTTGCTGTGTTTCCCAAGCTGATCTTGAACTCCTGGCTTCAAGTAATTCTCCACCTTGACCTCCCAAAGTGCTGAGATTACAGCCAGGAACCACTCTGCCTGGCCAGCTTAATCAGTATTTGAACATGCTCAAGTTTTCCTGTTTTAAATAATCCCTGGACTCCACATTTTCTCCTAATTACCTTCTTACCTCTTCTCTCATTTATACTTAGACTTCTTTAAAGACTTGTATATGCTCACTGGGAAGAAATGAGGAACAAAAAAGCTGTAAGACATACAGAAAACAATTAATAAAATAGTAATAGTCCTTACTTATCAATAACTTAAATGTAAATTAATTAAACTCCCCAATGAAAGGATGGATTGGCAGAATGGATTTAAAAACAGGATTAAAAACTTTCCATTTACTGCACATCCTACTCCACTTGCTGGGATTACAGGCATGAATCACCCTGTGCAGCCCATAGCTATATTGTATTCTATTGTTGGGTGAATATAATTTTTAGATTGACCTCTGTTGATAATTTAGCTTGTTACCATTACTGTTAGAAATGTGAGCATCCTTTTTGCATGTGCTTGTATAAGTAGGATAAACTCCTGTCAGTAGAGAGTATGTATATATATTTATTTTGATAGATGTTGCCAGATTGCTATTAAAAGCATTAAAGAAAAAAGTGCTTTTTTGATTCCATCAAATGAATGCATAAGTTTACATAAAAACAAGCAGAAGTTGTAGTAAAGAGACAATTTTAGTCCAGGCTCAGTGGCTCACACCTGTAATCTCAGCATTTTGAAAGGGTAAGGCAGGAGGATGACTCCCAGCCTGGGCAACAAATTGAGACCCTGTCTCTCCAAAAACAATTCGCTGTATGTAGTGGCACATACCTATAGTCCTACTTACTCAGGAGGCTGAGGCACAAGGATCACTTGAGCCCAGGAGTTTGAGACTGCAGTGAGCTATGATTGTGCCACTATATTCCTGCCTGGGCAACAGAGTGAGATCCTGTCTACAAAAAAAAGACACAATTTTTAAAAAATAAATGTTTTAAAGAGGCAGTTTCAGAAGCAACTTTCTTCTTGCCAAAGTGCATAGTTGTAATATCTGTGCTGGTGTTGGATATATAAAGTTAAAGCAGTAGACTCCCTTATGTATGTACATCTATGGATATTTTTAAAAACTATTCGTTATTCAACTTATACAGTTTTTTAGGATAACTAATTTCTTAAAACTTACTACCAATTAAATAAAGAATAGTCATTGTTTATTTGGATCAAAAATTGCTATAAATTCTATTGTCCTGGGATTTAGAGAACATATGTCTGTCTTTAAAAAAGGGAATCATCTCAAGTCAGGTGTAGGTGGCTCACACCTGTAATACCAGCCTTTAGGAGGCCAGAGCAGCTGGATCACTTAAGCCCAGGAGGTCAAGACAAGCCTGGGCAACATGGTGAGACCCTGTCTCTACAAAAATACAAAAAATAGCCAGGTGTGGTGGTTGTGCACCTGCAGTCTCAGCTACTGGGGAGGCTGAGGTGTGAGGATCACCTGAGTCCAGGGATGTTAAGGCTGCAGTGAGCCAGGATCACGCTACTGCACTCCAGCCTGGGCAACAGAGTGAGACCTTGTCTGTCTGTCTGTCTGTCTGTCTGTCTGTCTCTCTCTCTCTCTCTCTCTCTCCCCGCCCCCTCTCTCCCCCCCTCCGCCCCCTCCCAGACACACACACACACACACACACACACACACACACACACACACAGATAATCTCGGCTGGGCACAGTAGCTCATGCCTATAATCACAACACTTTGGGAGGCTAGGAGCAAGAGGATCACCTGAGCCCAGGAGTTCAAGACCAGCCCGGGCAACATAGCAAGACTTTGTCTCTACACATAATTTAAAAATTAGCTGGTGTGGTGGCATGCACATGTGGTCCCAGCTGCTTGGGAAACTGAGGTGGGAGGATCACTTGAGCCTGGGAGGTCAAGGCCACAGTGAGCCGTGCTCACACCACTGCACTCCTGGACAACAGAGCAAGACCCCATCTCAAAATTTGAGACCTTATCTCAAATTAAAAAACAAAAAAACAAAAAACTTTCGTCTCAGCCTTTCTCTTTTCACACTAAAAATTTCTGGTATTAATCTTCGTCTTGCCACTGCTTCTCATTTTATTTTTAACTTTAGAGTTAAAGTCTTGCCATGTTGCCCAGGCTAGACTCAAATTCCTGGGCTCAGGTGATCCTCCTGCCTCAGCCACCTGAATAGATGGGGTTATAGGTACACGCCAGTGTGCCCAGTTTATTTTAATGGTTCAAGTCCACTTCTGTTCAGCATATCCCAGGTGTGGGTTGTAGCCTGGCTTTGCACAAGGAAAAAGGCATTTTGCTGGAAGTTGGGCATACCTAACTCCTAACATATTTTTTTCTTAGAATATCCTTGTTTTCTTTAGATTTCTATAAAGCACAAAATAATCTATTAGTATAATTTACCTTGTACTATAGAAAAAATACACAAGTTATTGATATGTTTCTAGTCTTTTTTCCTAACCTTAAGTTTTATTAAGAATTATTACAGTCATTGTTATAGTAATTACTGTAATAATTCTTAATTACTGTAATAATTATTACAATTATTATTTCAGGCTTTATTGTTTACAGTTTTCTTGTGGAAAAACAAGGCCTTTTATTCTGTTAATTTCAAGATAAAAAAAATTTTCCTTTTGCTCTCTGTGCTCCATAAGAGTTTGTAAAATGAAAGGACAACTTGAATAGTGTTTTTACAAATGAATAATATAAAAAGTTAATATTGTGTTACTTTTCTTTGAAGCATGAAAAAAAAATTACAGAATATTTCCAAAGTCTCCCAAGAAAATAAAAAAGGATTTTAAAATGCCCCATGAGCCATTCATGTAGAAATAGCCTTTTTTAGTTATGTAAACAATGTAAACAATCATGTAAACAATTGCCTTTTTTTTTAAATTAAAGTTTCTGTTTGCAGATATTCATAACTGAATTTTAAGCAAACAAGGGGGGAAATAGCCTTTTTTTTTTTTTTTTTTTTTTTTTGAGACGGAGTCTCGCTTTGTCGCCCAGGCTTGAGTCCAGTGGCACGATCTCAGCTCACTGCAAGCTCCGCCTCCCAGGTTCCTGCCATTCTCCTGCCTCAGCCTCCAAGTAGCTGGGACTACAGGCGCCCGCCACCATGCCCGGCTAATTATTTTGTATTTTTAGTAGAGACGGAGTTTCACCGTGTTAGCCAGGATGGTCTCGATCTCCTGACCTCGTGATCCGCCCGCCTCGGCCTCCCAAAGTGCTGGGATTACAGGCGTGAGCCACCGCGTCCGGCCAGGAAATAGCTTTAAATAGAAATATATATATATAAAGCTTTAACACATTTAATTTAGGAAAATAAATCAAACTCAGAAGATACTAGTAGACTTGAAATGGAGATTAGAAGCACCATTCTCAAATGCGACGTTTAAACAAGCTACCAAACTAGTACTTAAAGTATAGGAAACTTAAAAGTTTTGGATTCTGCCCTGTTTTTGTTTTTGTTTTCCATGGAAAGTTTAAGAAAGGAGAATGGGCAGTTGACAAAATGCAGGGGCAAAACTTAAAACCGTCAACCAAAATAAAATATAATGCTGTATACGTGGATAGAGAAACCCTGTCAGATGCTTTTGGTTTACACCCTGATGAAGATTTTGACAGCACTGCACAAGGAAATGATCTTGATGTGCTACCATTTCATTCTTTGCTGAATGTAGCCAATTTAAACTGCTAGAATTCCTTGACATTCCTAGTCTGGCATATCTGAGTCAGCATCTTGTTGCTGCAGCAGCTTAATTAAATTTGCCAGTTTTTGGCACAGGACAGACATGTTCTCATATTCAGAGAGACAGCTGTGTAGCAGTATTGTTAAGAGTGCAGACACAATACTGTTAGGTTTGAATAGCTCTCAAGACATTTTCTAGTAAGAAGTCAATTTGCTGTAATACATTTCTCCCAAGATCAGCAGTTAATGTTCATTTTGTTAACCTAAAATATGCTTATTTTTATACAATTATTGGAGAAACTTTAGTAGCTATGTCTTTTTTTACCTGTGTTATTTTCAGAGCCAACCTAAGCATCCTAATTTTAATTTCCAAAATTCTTCTCCCATTCGTTTATCAGCTCTTTGAGTAGTTTTTTATCCATTGGTTCGCTCTGAGAGAGTGGTGTTAAATATTTTTTTCTTTATTTGGGGACCTACATATTTTCTAAAAAACTGTTGTCATCTTTTGGAATTTTTGACATATTTATTCTAGTATTATAAAGTTAATTTAAAACAAATCAGGAGTAGTTTGGATGGAACGTAACTCACCCTTTGTCCAGATGCAGATCTAAATTAGTAATTCTCAGCCGTTTCAGACTGATACCCTCCCACTTTTTATGACAGATATTTATAAGAAATAAGATACCTCCTTTACTAGCTTAAAATGAAATTAATAGATATAATTTTTAAAAACAATAAATGTGAAATAATTTATTTTTATGTAAATTCATAGAGACTACTGCATTATGAGATATAATGAGGTAGTGAGATGCATCAGTTAAAATGAATACAGTTCATTTATTTAAGTTCATTTAAAATATTTAAGAGAGAATAAAGCATACCATAAAATAATCATAGGAAAAATAAAATGTACTGTTAGGATAAATAATAACAGACTAGACTTATTTGTACCTGGTAAGAAAAAGCCTGAAAGGGACTGTTGAAAGTTATGCAGGATAGTAGTGCATATTGCAGGCATTTAGTCTTCCCCCCTTCTGAATGCCTTTAATCCCCCCTCTTTTGTGACAATCCAGATACAACTGTAGGCTTCCAGAAGGCCCTGGGGACATTAAAACTGCCTTGATTGAGAACCACTGCTATGGATATTTTCTCTTCCTTCTCTTTTTCTCCCTTAATCCCTGATCATGATGTTCTTAGGATTCTCTTCAGTCACCTACTTGGTATGTTCACTTTGGAAACCTAAGTTCTCCATAGTCCCATTGTGTTGATGTACATATCTACTTTTCTTTCTTCTTCATTGACTTCTCTAATGCACTTGATTATAACATCCTGGAGATTGGAGATGGTATTGTACTTAGTGTTGTATTTCCAGTACCTAGCATAGGCTGGCACATGGTAGTTAATAAATATTAACAAATGGAGGAATGAAGAATGAGTCAGCAGATGTCCATCTTTCTCATTAGTTTCCCTTCCTTTCTGGATTATTGTGTAATTTGGAGCCAGGTTATAGGAACAGTTACTGTGGTGGAAATTACAGTCGTACAGGCCAAGGAAGTATAGTTTTTGATGCACTTCTAAAGTCTCTTATTTAAAATGTAGATTATAATAACTGAATAGCAAAAATAGAGATGGGTTATGAATAAGATAAGGAAGTTGTGTTCATATGCCTTAATTTGGATAAGGTGACTTCTTAAAAGTAGGGGTAGCATTTGTGAATCTGAGTAACAGAGAAACTCTCTAAAATAAAAGAAATTTATTTGGGTGTAAAGCATTGCAATGGGAATATGTATGCCATAGTAAACTATGTGCGTATTCAGGGAGGTAAAGGAGGACAAAGATTTTTAAAGGAAAAAATTAGGATTATGTGATTGTTTTGAAATAGTTATACTTGATCTTTGAAAGATAGTAACAAAGGTGACACCAATCCAAGGTTGGACGGGCAGTTCCTGAACAAATACCCTTGCAGAAGTATTTTGTTATCAGGAATTCAAACATGAGAACTCTGTCTTCATGGCCTTCACTAGCTCTAATTATTGGGGGGGGGGTTTGTTTTGTTTTGTTTTTTTAAGTTCCAGGGTACATGTGCAGGATGCGCAGGTTCGTTAGGTAGGTAAACATGTGCCATAGTGGTTTGCTGTACTTACCAACCCATCACCTAGGTATTAAGCCTAGCATGCATTAGCTATTTTTCCTAATGTTCTCCTACCCCAACCCCACCCCACAACAGGCCCATGTGTATTCCCTTCCTTGTGTCCATGCATTCTCATTTTTCAGCTCCCACTTATAAGTGAGAACATGTGGTGTTTGGTTTTCTGTTCTTGTGTTACTTTGCTGAGGATAATGGCTTCCAGTTCCATTTGTGCCCCTCTAAAGGACATGATCTCATTCCTTTTTATGGCTGCATAGTATTCCATGATATCAAGGATTTTTAAACATTGGTGACTCCATTGTGATTCTGACAACCTTCACACATTCCATAAACAAATATGGTAACAAGTTCTGAAACTGCTCACTACTTTCTCTTCTGGTACATTTCATTAAAGATATGCCAGGAGTTTTGTTTGGCATCCATGAAAAGCATAAAGTCATTTGCATGAACTCAGCCATGTACCAGAGTGATAGAGGATTGTACAACTCTTCCAAAACCATTACTGCTTTCAAAAAATACGGTGCATATGTTAGAATTCTCTTAATTTTTGAGATAAGCAGAGGAAATCGGAACATTTAAAATCTCGATGAATTTTTGTTAACCTCAAATTTGTGATTCCATTACATTGTGTTCTTAGTAGGTTTTGTTCACCATATTAACTGGTAAATCTTAGTGATGAATTTAAGTATTAAGAACTCAAATTGTAATAAAATGTAAACATAAAATACCTACATATGTAACTGGCAAGAATGATTTTCCCCTCTTTATTAATGGGGAAGAAAGTTCTAAATTGAATAAGTATGCCTCTTCCTCTCTATCAGGTAATTGAAGGTAAGTTTGCATTGTGAACCTATCCCACAGAATACTTAATCTACTTTAAATGGCTAAACATCAAAATGCAGGTGGCAGAGTTAGATAATAATCCAGAGTTTACTCTGTTAATCACGCTGTATTCTCCGTAGTGATTGAGAATCATGACGTTCCATGATAGTAATCTTCATGTGAAAAGCACATATTTGTAAATTATATTTTGTTTTCCAGACGTATAGGAGAAAATTTGAATGCTTCAGCAAGTTCTGTAGAAAATGAGCCGGCAGTTAGTTCAGCAACTCAAGCAAAGGAAAAAGTTAAAACCACAATTGGAATGGTTCTTCTTCCAAAACCAAGAGTTCCTTATCCTCGTTTCTCTCGTTTCTCACAGAGAGAGCAGAGGAGTTATGTGGACTTGTTGGTTAAATACGCAAAGATTCCTGCAAATTCCAAAGCTGTTGGAATAAATAAAAATGACTACTTGCAGTACTTGGTATGTATTCTATTCTTCAGTTTCAGGAAAAAATATTAAAAATTAGGAAATATTTTTATCTTAAATTTACATTTATGTTTTTAGGTCTGCTCATCTTTTTTAAAATGGAAAATTTAAGGAGATTACTTGACAGAGCAATGGTGCTTTAATTCTTTTGTTGATTCCGTTATAGTTCAAGCATTTTGCTCCACTGCTTAGCATGTCTTACTCCATTTCATCTTAGGTACTAGCAGTAGAACTTTACATAGATTATACCAATTTTAAATTATTGCTTAATTATTACTTCAATTAAGACTTTTCCAAATTCTCTCAATTATATAAATGATGCTGTGCTGAACATCTTTGTAGCAAAATCTTTGTTCATATCGATGATAGTTTCCATAAGATAAATTCTTAAAAATAAAACTGCCAGACCAAAACATATGCATATTTTCAAAGCTTTGATCTGCAGTTACACATGCGTAAATTGTTCTACAAAAAGTTTAAACCAGTTTGTTTGTACTTCTGTTGTATGACAGGTTTTGAAAAAACTGTCTTCTCTAATCCTACAGGGATAAGGTAACAGAAAATTGAAATCAAATTTTAAAAAAGAAAAAAACTATCTTCACTAATATTGGACATTACCTTTTTTGCCTTTAATTTAAAATTGGAAAAGTGATCTCTTGCTTTACATTAATTTAATTTATGATTACTAATGAAAATAAACATTTTCCATATGTGGATAAGCCATTTTTATTTTTTCTTTGGTAACTTGTTTGTTTATATTATTTGCTCATTTTTCAATTTGGATGTATGTCTTTTTAAAAAAATTTGAGGCCAGGCACAGTGGCTCGTGCCTGTAATCCCAACACCTTGGGAGGCTGAGGCAGGTAGATCATCTGAGGTCAGGAGCTCGAGACCAGCCTGGCCAACATGGCGAAACCCCATCTCTACTAAAAATACAAAAAATTAGCCAGCTGAGGAGGCGCCTGTAGCCCCAGCTACTCGGGAGGCGGAGGTTGCAGTGAGCTGAAATCGTGCCACCACACTCCAGCCTGTGCAACAAAGCGAGACTCCGCCTCAAAAAGTAAATTAAAAAAAAAAATTTTGACAGCATTTTATAAAATCAGCTTCTCAATTCCTGAGCGTGTATTGTATAGTCTTAGTCATTTGCTTTTCTATTTTGTGGAGTTTTTAATAGCAGTTTATCGTTACCATGTAATAACTTTTACTGACTTCTTTGATTTCTGCTTTGGATTTGATACTTTAATTATTAAGTCCAAATTATTATAGCAATGATTAAAAAATTGTTTTTTAATGAAACTTTTTATCCCAAGACATGTCTACTTTTTTAAAAATCAGGATATGAGAAAACATGTGAACGAAGAAGTTACTGAGTTCCTAAAGTTTTTGCAGAATTCTGCAAAGAAATGTGCACAGGATTATAATATGCTTTCTGATGATGCCCGTCTCTTCACAGAGGTAAAAATCAACTCACATTTGTGTAAACTGCCAGTGATAGGCAATAGCAGCATTCTGAAATGTGTGATGATTCACCCAAAAGCATTTGGAACTGTCAATATTACCAATTTAAAAACCGCAGGTCTTTTCTTCATCATGCATTAAAATAGTTTAAAAACTAACATCTCAAAATTGTGTACTATAGTATATTTGTATGTATATTTATATTCTTTAACGATCCAACTATTATATCATTACATTTTACTCACGTAATAGTTTGAACTGACCCACTGATTTCACTTGTGAGAGAATAGTGTTTAAAGAGTTATCCTGGTACCTAAAAATCTGGTACTTTAAAACTCAGTCACGGGAACTTGTGCTCATTATGTTTGTGGTAACCAGCCACAAAATGATAAACTTCAGCTCTGAGTTCATTTTTTGATACTTCACTCATTCATGCAAATTTATTAGCAAGACCTGTATATCATCCCAGCTCGTACCCTACCATCATTCATTGAGCCTACCAGAAAATTAAAGTATACTACTTAAATAGGCAAGGCGTGTGGCACACGCCTCTAATCCCAGCACTTTGGGAGTCCAAGGCAGGCAGATCACCTGAGGTCAGGAGTTTGAGACCAGCCTGGTCAGCACAGTGAAACCCCGTCTCTACTAAAAATAAGAAAATTAGCCAGGCATGGTGGTGGGCGCTTGTAATCCCAGCTACTCAGGAGGCTGAGGCAGGAGAATCACTTGAACCTAGGAGGTGGAGGTTTGCAGTGAGCTAAGATCGCACCATTGCACTCCAGCCTAGGTGACAGAGCGAGACTCTGTCTCAAAAAAATTGGATAAAGTATGCTACTTAAATAATAACTATATATGTACATACACATATATTTATAGTAGAGTTTATAAATATCAGTGTAAATTTAAGCCTTTAAAACTGGTCACTGTAAACAATAGTGTTAATATATTTAACACTGCTGAACTCTACACTTAAAAAGGGATAAGATGGTAAATTTTACCATAGTTTTAAAAAGCAAAACTAGGCACTGTAAGTTGAAGGACAGCAGGAGTATTACACTTTCACTGTTTTAAAAAAAAAAAAAAAAAAACAGGCCAGGCACGGTGGCTCACACCTATTTTTTCAGCACTTTGGGAGGCCAAGGCAGAAGGATTCAGCCCAGTAATTTGAAACCAACCTGGGCAACATGATGAAATCCCATCTATACAAAAAATTTAAAAATTAGCTGACATGGTGGCATGTGCCTGTAGTCCTAGTCCTAGTCCCAGCTACTTGGGAGGCTTAGGTGGGAGGATCACTGAAGCCCAGGAGATGGAAGCTGCAGCGAGCCTTGATTTTGCCACTGCACTGCACTCCAGTTGGGATGACAGAACGTGACCCTGTCTCAAAAAAAGGAAGAAAAAACAAAAAAAAAAACACTGTAAGGAAGAAATTTGTTGTTAATATGAACCAGAAGAATGATTCTTGTAAATAAATGAATTTGATTTTTATTTTCTGTGAACCTAAATATAATGTATCCAAATGGAATGTCATAATTTTCTATGTGGAAAAGGAGCTGGCAGCTATTCTTGTTTTTTAATAGTGCCTTTTAAAAGACCAGAATGATGTTTTTAATACATAAGTCGTAGTTCAGGCTGGAGTGCAGTGGCACAATCCTAGCTCACTGCAGCCTTGAATTCCTGGGTTCAAGTGATCCTCCCCCACCTCAGCCTCCTGAATAGCAAGAACATGGGCATAGGCCACTGCACCTAATTTTTTTTTAGAGACAGGGCTTCCTATGTTACCCAGGCTAGTCTCAAACTCCTGACCTCAATCCTCCTGCGTCAGCCTCTCAGAGTGCTGGGATTATAGCCCATCTTTCTTAGGAAGAGTCTTTACAAAGTTCTGCAGTGGCCTGCATGATCTCTCCCCTCCCTCCCATCCCCCATCCTCACTTTCTACACATTGTCCTATCAGTTATTCTGCTCCCACCTGCGGACTGGCCTTTATGTTTCTTCAATACTTCAAGCATAGTCCTGCCTTAAGTCCTTTGGCATTTGGGGTTTCTATTTTTCTCAGTCTGTTCCCCGGATTTCTGCATGGAATAGTGTCTTGATTCTTTTATGTCTCTCTCTGTTCAGATGTCACCTATCAATGAGGATTTCCCTGATTACCCTATGGAATGTAGTATGACCCTCACTTTTCCCTTTACCATGTTTTATTTTTGCTTATTGTCCTTCTCCTCACTGTTTTTGTAAAACAGTGCCTTTTTGTAAGTGCTGTTTTATTCACTGATGTAGTCTCCCAATGACTAGAATAGTGTCTGGCGTGCTTAAGTGCTCAAGTGCTCAATGTAAATATTTCTTGTGTGGATATAAAACTGTACTTTATTAACAAAGTACATTACTTGGTAGCTAATGGTAAATGATAAACATTGTCATGTTTTTTTCCATATTGATGTGGTAGCACATTTTCTCTAAGTTGTATTTTACATCCCCACTGCAAAGATTCACTGATACTTTTCTAAGACCTTTTAGTTTTAAGATTTTATGTTATGCAATGTCATGTATATATGGAAAAGTATATAGAACAAAAGAAAAAATAGATACAGCTTAACAGATCATTATATAGTAAACATCTGTGTAACTCTTACCCAGGACAAGAAATAAAACAATAACATAATCCAGAAGCCCCCTGTGTAGTCCTCCTGTATAATAAATAACATTCTCCTTACTTGAATAAATAATCACTGTCCCAGCTTTGGTGGTGATAAGTTGTTTGCTTTTTGTGTGTATATGGAGAGTGGTAGTTCTACTTCTCTTTTGCCTGATTTTGTGGGGATTTTTTTTTTCTTTTTTTTTAAGAGACAGAGCTTTGCTCTTGTCGCCCAGGCTAGAGTGCAGTGGCACGATTTCAGCCCACTGCAACCTCTGCCTCCTGAGTTCAAGCTACTCTCCTGCTTCTGCCTTACAAGTAGCGCCCAGCTAATTTTTGTATTTTTAGTAGAAATGAGGTTTCACCATGTTGGCCAGGCTGGTCTCAAACTCCTGACCTTGGGCGATCTACCTGCTTCAGCCTCCCAAAGTGCTGGGTTATAGGCGTGAGCCACCGTGCTTGGCCCCTTTTGCCTGATTTTGAATTTTATGTGAACAGAATGCTTTTGGGCCTGCCTTCTTTCATTCAGTATTGTGCTTTTTAGATTCTTAAGTTGTGTGAGTTATAGTTCATTCATTTTCATTTCTGTCCATTTTTCCATTATATGAATAAACTACAATTTATCCTGTTGATCAGAACTTGGGTTGCTTCCAGTTTGGAGCTATTCTAAGCAGTACTCTTAAGAAAATTCTCATACATTTATTTTGGTACACATATGCACACGTTTCTGTTGGATATATAGATGCTTCTTGACTCATGATAGAGTTACATCCCAATAAACCTATAGTGAATTAAAGATGCATACACCTAACGTACCAAATAGCATGGTGTGTTTTAGCCTACTCTAAATATGCTCACAATACTTACATTTACCTACAGTTGGGCTTAATCATCTAACACAAAGCCTATTTTATAATAAAGTATTGAGTGTCTTGTAATTTATTGAATGCTGTGTGTTGTGACAAAATTGCAATGATTTGGCACCATCGTAAAGTTGAAAAATCATTTAGTGGAACCTTTATAAGCTGGGGACTGTTTGTATACCTAGGAGTGGAATTATTGGGTCATAGAGTATGCATATCTTCAACTTGAGTAGATTTGCAAATGGTTTTCCAAAGTGGCTATACCAGGTTATATCAATTTACATTCTAACCAGCAGTGTTCAAGTGTTCTGTTGCTCCACATCTCAGATAGAGATATATATATACACATATATATATATATATATGGGGGGGAGGGGAGAGCACACGCATGTTTTCATATGCTTTTTGCTCACTTTTTCTTGCAGAATAACTGTTCATTTTTTCTAATTGATATGTAAGATTTCCTTATATATTCCAAATACAAAAACTTTATGGGCTTTGTATGTTGCAGTTTTTCTCCTTTTTCTGTTTTGAATTTTATCTTTTTATATTAACAAGCTAAAATTGTATATATTTATTTTGTACAATATGTTTTTAAAATATGTATACATGGTGGCAAGGCCAAACCAGGCTAATTAACATACGCATTACCTCACAAACCTATTTTTTTGTTGTGAGAACTCTTAAAATCTACTCTCTTAGCAGTTTTCAATTACATCGTAATTATCATCACCATGTTTTACAATTGATCTCTTGAACTTTTTCCTCCTACGTGACTGAAATTTTGTGTCCCTTAACCAACATTTTGACCACCACCCCAGCTATTAATGCTCACTGCCTAGATGCATTCAATTCACTGTGGTTTGCACAGTTGTAATATTCTGATTGCATCATTTATTCATTGGAATAATTTTTTAAAGATATGCTTTCCCTTATTTACTATTCGGTTTCCCAGTTCATGTAGCTTACCATGGGACAAAATAAATACTAGATTCTTTCCTTTGAAATATCACTTTTTAAAAAACTAGTTCCTTTTTATTCTCCAATGATGATGTATTTTCTTTTTTTAAAATGTTATTAAATCATGGAGTTAAACATATATGTGTTTCTGTCCACGAAGATTATTATCCTTTGTAAGCCTCAAATAATACTAACTCACTGAGAGGCTCTTCCTACTGGCTTTTCAGTCAATCTGGTAGTCTTTGAGGCTCATTTTCTACATTTCCTGCCCTGGCGCTGGAATCAGCCATTTTCTAGAGCCCTTGTTTCTTTTAGTGTGAAGTGATATTTCAAGACTACAATGTGGGCACTACGGATGCTCCTGGGTTGATCATTGTTTTGAGAATAATTCAGTGGATAGAACTAGGAAAGAATATCTCATATGTCTCATTTGCTTTATCCCACATTACACTCACAGCAGCCTCAAAATAACAATACTAGTGATCAATACGATAACAATTGAAATTACTTTTTGTATGCTCTTCTCATTCTCCCCCACATTTTTTAAAAGATTGTACTGTGTTGTTATTGTTAGAGCATCATATAGCCGTTAAATCCTAAAGCCTCCCTTTTAAATCCACATTTAATTTTTAAAACTATTGAGGTATAATTTACATATAAAAATTACTCATTTTAAGTGCATTTCTTTTGTGAAATATCTATTGAAGTATTTTGCTGATTTTTTATTTGCTTTTATTTTTATTAAGCCATAAAGTTTCTTTATATAGTCTGACTACAACTCCATTATATATAGTTTTCTTCCAGTTTGTGATGTATTTTTACATTTTTTAAATAGTGTCTCAAAGAACAGAATTTTAATGGTCTAATTTATCAAAAATTTTTGTGGTTAGTGATTTCATGTATTCTGGCACAGAAATATTTGCCTATCCCAAGTGATTCTCAGACTGGCGTCAGTTTTACTCCTTCCTCACCCACCCCCCACCCTGCCCATCCCTAGGACTTTGACAGTGAGACATTTTTGGTTGTTGCAACTGGTAGAATGCTACTAGTATCTGCTGCGTAGAGGCCAAGGATGCTGCTAAACATACTAAATGCATGTGAGTGACGTCCCATACAACAAGGAATTATCCAACTGAAAGTGTCAGGCGTGCTTGCATTGAGAAACCCTAATCTAAAGGGCTTATAGTTTTAACTTATACACGTAAATAAGTCTATGTTGATTTCAAGTTAATTTTTGTGTAAGATACAAGGTAAGGATCAAAAGTCATTTCTTTCCATATGAATATCTAGTTGTTCTAGCATAGTCATTTTCAACTGAGAGTGACTTTGCCTCCTAATGGACATTTGAGAATGTCTAAAGCTTGGTAGGGGTGCTGATGGCATCTACCGGGTAGAGCCAGAGGTGCTACTAAATATCCTACAATGTACTGGACAGCCTAACACTACAAAGAATTACGTGGTCCAAAATGTTAGTAATGCCAATATTGAGAAACTCTGTTTTAGCATAGAGTTTGGTTGAGAAGGGTATTTTTTCCCTCACTGAATTACCTCGTCACCATCACGTGGATCAACTTTTTTTGAAGACGGAGTCTCCCTCTGTCACACAGGCTGGAGTGCAATGGTGCAATCTCTGCTCACTGCAACCTCTCCCTCCCGGGTTCCAGCGACTCTCCTGCCTCAGCCTCCCAAGTAGCTGAGATTACAGGTGCCTGCCACCACACCCAGCTAATTTTTTTGTATTTTTAGTAGAGATGGGTTTCACCATGTTGGCCAGGCTGGTCTCGAACTCCTGACCTCAGGTGATCCACCTGCCTCGGCCTCTCAAAGTGCTGGGTTTACAGGTGTGAGCCACCATGCCCAGCGTGGATCAATTTTTTGACTCTGTTTTGTTTCATTAATCTGTATGTCTGTCTTGATGCCAACACCATATGGTCTCGATAACTGTAGTTTTATAGTCCTGAGATCGTGGGTTCTTTACATTCTCATGGAAATTTTGGAATCAACTTGTCCATTTCTACAAAAATCTAGGTGGGATTAAAACATTGTTCAGCTAGATTGCTTTCCTTTCTTTTAAAAATAAAATCTGATAATCTCTTTTAATTAGAAAGTTTAGCTATTTACATCCATTATGATGACAGTATGTATTGATTTTGTTTGTGCTTTCTGTTTTACTTTTTCTGTACTCTCTTCTTTTTTTTTTTTTTTAAACTCCTTTTGAGGAGATTGACATTTTTCCTCTTTTTCCCCTCTCTGTTGGTTTGGAAATTACATGTCTACTTTCTGTTTTCTTAGTGGTTACTCTTGAATTTTTACAGTGAATAATTCCATTATTCAATATCAACTAGCCTCCCGAACAATACAGAAATCATAGAACATTTTGACTGTCATTATATCCCTCTTGACTTGTATGCTATTTGTTGTAATGCAGTTTCTTTTTTAAATCTACCCACATTATTATTTTATATGGACTATGTTTGTTTTAATTTATCTACACGTTTGCCAAATTTTGGCCCACCGTTTCTTCTTCTCAAACCTACATTCTGAGATTCTTTCATTCTTGAAATCCTGTGTATTCTAGATGTGCCTTTGATGAAGGTCTCTTAATGGTGAACAATCTCCATTTTTTAAAATTTGGAAATCTTTTATCTATCTTGTTCTCATTTTACTAATATAATTTTATTTCATACACAATTCAAAGTTGGCACTTACCTTTTTTCCACAACACTTAAAGATACAATCCTACTTTTTCATGTTGTTGTTGAAAAATGTATTATCTAATTGTCGTTTCTTTTAGGGCTTCTGTCTTTTCTTACTGTAATTTTGGTGTTTTAGAGTTTCATAAAAATATGCTTTTTAATAAAATCCTGCTGGCTGATTGTGTTTACTGTGTCTGGATTTATAGCCTTCATCAGTTCTGGAGAATTCTCAACCATTTTCAATGACTGCTGCTTCATTTTCTCATTTCTCTTCCTAGGATTTCCAAATTTTTCCAAGGCTAGACCTCAGTGTGTCCTCCATTTCTCTCTCTTTTTTAAATTGTGGTAAAGTATACATAACAAAATTTGCCATTTTCACCATTTAAGTGTACAGTTCAATAACATTAAATACATTTACATTGCTATGCAACTGTTACCACCATCCATCTCCAGAACTTTTTGTCTTCCCAAACTGAAACTGAGTACCCATTAAACAGTAGCTCCCTGTTTCCTCTTCCCCCTAGTTCCTGGCAACCACATTCTGTTTCTGTCTGTATGAGTTTCACTACTCTAGGTTCCCCATATAAGTGGAAACATACAGTATCTGTCTTTTTGTGACTGGCTTATTTCACTTAGCATAATGTCCTCAAGATTTGTCCAAGTAGTAGCATGTGTCATAATTTCTTTCCTTTTTAAGGCTGATTAATATCCCATTGTGTGTTTGTGTGTGTGTGTGTGTGTATGTGTGTGTATATATATTACATTTTGTCTATCTGGTCATCCATTGATGAACACTGGAGTTGCTTCCACCTTTTGGCTGTTACGAATAATGCTGTTATGAACATAAGTGTACATATATCTGTTCAAATCCCTGCTCAAATGTAGAAGTCTTATGTTTGACTTCCCACCTGATCTTAGAACTGGTTGAAGAATTTGCCCTCAAGCCACCTCACCTTTCCTAGGTTTCCTTACTCCTCACTGCTCTAGTTTCTCCTCTTTGTGTTGATTTATGGTTCTTGCATATTTTCCTTGCTTTTCACCAAGCCCAGAAATATTTTTCCTTTCTAGCCCAAAATAAAATTTAGGGAACATTTTTTATAATGATAGATGTGTATTGTATAAATGCGTATGCTTTTGATGAATTTAATTCTCAAGATATTTTGGGTATTAAACACTAATAGCACTCAGTGCGTGAGTGATGGGGAACAGCCTGAATCTTTTAACCTCCTGTGTTCAGTTAGTTATTTTTCAAAGAAAGATAAATTACTAGTATAAAACTTTTTTTTTTTTACTACATAAGCTAAATAATGATCCTTTAGTTAATTGAGTACCTACCAGTTGTAAAATACTTTCGATAATTATATAATGTAACAGAGTGTAGGTGTAAAATTGTCTTAGATTTTCCTTTGACTCTCTTGCTGTAGTTACTGAATTAAGTAAATTCAGTTAAAAACACTGTAACATCCACCACAGTTTTACCAGGAATGATGTGCCAATGAATATCTAACAAAAATAGTCTCTATTTCACGTAGTTCTTATGTATTACCTTCCTTTGCATATTCAAATTCTTGTAATAACTACCATAGGAAAGGAATGTTACAAGTGAAAGTTAACTAATAGTACAAATAAGGAGCAAAGATATTTTGCAGATATGAGTTTGCAGTTGACTCAGATTTTTTACAGCTTTTCCATATTAGTCCACATCTCTGTTAGTTACAAATGATACCATGGATTAAATATCAAGATCTGCCATGAAAAGCATAGATGAGGAGAGAAAATGTGAAACATAGGGAGTAGGGATTAGAAAAGGGGGGAAGGGGTTCTGAAACTATAGATGAAAAGATATACTGGAGTAAAGTTATTGATTTGTAACTTGACACATTTTACGAATATGTAAAGGGAGAGGGTATGTAGATATATATGATAAAGATAATATATAAAGATGCCAAGAGCTTTTGTGACCTAATATATATTATGAGACATTCAGGAAAGGTTCGTTGACAGAAGAAGAAGAAATACGTATCTTAGAAGATAATGTATGTATGTGTTTTAATCAAACAACTCTCCCCACCCCCAACAGCTGTGCATCTCTGAATTGTTTATATATTATCACATACTCTTCTCACAAAAAGTTGTGAATTTTGTTTACTTACCAATTACATTTCCTCATAAGTTATTGATTTTTTTAGATTATAGATTACAATGACCCGTAAGATAACTACTTCATTAACTTATTGTGCTTGGGAATGTTTTCAGAGTATACTACTTAATTTCTAATTATTCATATAACTGCTTTTATTGCAGTAAAGTGTGTTGAAATTTTCATGTGCCTTTCTTTAACAGTTTCTTAAATAACATGGAAAATATGATATTATGTGTCCTCTAATTTTAAATTTTAATGAGACTGCTAATTTTAGTATTAAACATCAATATTTTAAGCAACTGGGTTAGAAATAAATTATGAAAATAAAGAATATACAATGTGTGTATTGTTAGTAGCTTGATTAATGAAATCAGGCTAATTTTTGCACTGAATAATTACATAGTCACATGTAACTAAACATTTTCTTTTTGCATTATTAGAGAAATACAATACAAATGAATTTTTCTTAATTTCTGTTTCTCAGAAAATTTTAAGAGCTTGCATTGAACAAGTGAAAAAGTATCCAGAATTCTATACTCTCCACGAGGTCACCAGCTTAATGGGATTCTTCCCATTCAGAGTAGAGATGGGATTAAAGTTAGAAAAAACTCTTCTTGCATTGGTAAGATTTATCATCAGAGGATATAAGCTTTTTTTTTGCCCAAAATATCATACATATGTGTGTGTGTGTATACACGTATATATATATATACACACACATATATATACGTGTGTGTGTGTGTGTGTGTGTGTATATATACACATATATTTTTTTTTTTTGGGGGGAGACAGAGTCTCACTCTTGTCACCTGGCATGTAATGGCATGATCTCAGCTCATTGCAACCTCTATCTCCCAAGTTCAAGTGATTCTCCTGCTTCAGCCTACCAAGTAGCTGGAATTACAGGTGCCCGCCACCATGCCTGGCAAATTTTTCTATATTTAGTAGGAAATGGGGATTTCACCATGTTGGCCAGACTGGTCTCGAACTCCTGACCTCAGGTGATCCACCCACCTCACCTCCCAAAGTGCTGGTATTACAGGAGTGAGCCACTGCCCCTGGCTCATGTATACTTTATATAGACATTATATTTAAATGTTAAGCAATAATTAGGTGACTTAAAAAATATGTAATACCAATCTGTTTCCCTTTGTTTTTATTCTATGGATACAAATACTTGATGTTTTTAAAAATGCCACTACTTTGTTCCTTGATTTTCTTTTCTTACCACCCATCTGAATGCCCCTGAATACAAGCAGAAAGCCCCTTTTTTTAATGGGATTTTATTTACAAACATATTGAAAGTAAGTGTGTGGAGAGGATATTTTGGAGTTTCTACCATCCCCTGTTATGATTTGTGTCTCCTAAAAGGAGAAGATAGACTTTAAAGTGGCAGGAAAAATTCTATGAAACTGACCTGGCATGATGGCTCACGCCTATAATTCCAGCACTTTGGGAGGCTGAGGCAGGCGGATCACTTGAAGTCGTCAGGAGTTTGAGACCAGCCTGGCCAACATGACAAAACCCTGTTTCTACTAAAAATACAAAAATTAGCTGGGCGTGCTGACACACACCTGTTATTCCAGCTATTCAGGAGGCTGAGGTGACAGAATTGCTTGAACCCAGGAGGCAGAGGTTGCAGTGATCTGAGATCATACCACTGCACTCCAGCCTGGGCAACAGAGAGAGACTTAGTCTCAAAAAAAAACCACAGGTAGTGGTTGTCAAGCAAAAATATTAATATCTTGGCATGAAGTTTCTAAATCTGATGTTTACATTTAGTAGAATGATAAATTTCAAGTTAACAATTTCATATGATGAAAGATACTTTTCTTAGAAAAAAATACATTGCAATTTTTGCAATAAAATGATTACTATTTTTCATATTTAGGGCAGTGTAAAATATGTGAAAACAGTATTTCCCTCAATGCCTATGAAATTGCAGCTCTCAAAAAGCGATATATCTACCATCGAAACGTCAGAACAAACAGCTGAAGCTATGCATTATGTAAGTACCAAGGCAGCATTGGATCTTCCTAAATAATCTTTTATATCTCACAAAATATATCTAACCCGATTGTCCTAAAGTCTCCTTTCTGACTTTTTTTGTTCTTTACTTTATTGAAGAAATTTTCAATAAGTATAACCAAGTAACAAATTACTTGTTGTTTTTCAGGATATTAGTAAAGATCCAAATGCAGAGAAGCTTGTTTCCAGATATCACCCTCAGATAGCTCTAACTAGTCAATCATTATTTACCTTATTAAATAATCATGGACCAACGTACAAGGAACAGTGGGAAATTCCAGTGTTTATTCAAGTAATACCTGTTGCAGGTTTGTGATTTGCTATGTCAAATAATGCTCTCAAAAAAGAGAGGTTGGACCGTGTGTTCTCACTCATAAATAGGAGTTGAACAATGAGAACGCATAGGCACAGGGAGGGAAACAACACACACCGGGGCCTTTCGAGGGGTGGGGGGCAAGGGGAGGGGGAGCATTAGGACAAATACCTAATTCGTGCAGGGCTTAAAACCTAGATAACAGGTTGGTAGGTACAGCAAACCACCATGGTACATGTGTACCTATGTAACAAACCTGCACATTCTCCACATGTATCCCCAACTTAAAGTAAAATTTAAAAAAAGAAAAAGAGAGGTTGGAACCATTTCATTTCAGCTGTCTAAATATAGACAAAGCACTGATTTGAGGAGGACGTAAGTTTGACACTTACATTCAGTAAAACTTTTTGTGTATAAAGCTACTATAGGCTCAGCATACTAAATGAATTAATTAGGTCTATAGCACTTGTAGTCGTATTTAAGGGTGAGAGCGACAAAATGATGGCATAGGGTGGCCAAGAAATACATGAAATGGTCAGGTTGTTCTGTCTTTCACGGAAATGAAAGGAATGTAGTACTTTAGTAGACAACCTCAAATGGGTGAATTTCCATGACTTATTTACTTGTCTGTTACTGGAATTTGGAATTACAGTAAGTCTATACATATAAGTGTAGGGTAGTCTGTCTTTCAACAATAAAACTAATATTTGCATATTAATTCCTGTATATAAGAAATTATTTCCCTCCTGTTTTGATTCATATTTAATTTTTTATTTTTTAAATATCTTTCAGAATTAATATTATATGTTACAGCATAAATATAATAAGTGAAAGATTATGTCTATTGAAACAAAACTACAAATTAGAGTTAAATGTAATATATTCTCTGTGGTAAATATTTCATCATTTTTTGCAAGTTCCTATAAGAAACTGAGTAATAATGACAGTAAGAATATAACAGTAAAAACTAGAAATCCTTTTTAAACATTGTTAGAAAGACATTTTTCTTCTGCCAGTTGGATTTTCTTGCCCTTAGATTTCTAAAGGACTTGAATATCTTCTAGTCTAAGGGTAGCAAATATATGGGACATGTGCTGCCATTCTCCTGTGTCTCTTTGTTTCGTGATCCTTATGTCATACATCCTGTTTTTAAAAAATGTATCATGATTAGATACTAATCACCTCTTTCTTTGGTTTCTGTTTTAAGGTTCAAAACCGGTTAAAGTAATATATATTAATTCACCACTTCCCCAAAAGAAAATGACTATGAGAGAGAGAAATCAAGTCTTTCATGAAGTTCCATTAAAATTTATGATGTCCAAAAACACGTCTGTTCCAGTCTCTGCAGTCTTTATGGACAAACCTGAAGAGTTTATATCTGAAATGGACGTATGTAATTTTTTTTTTCCCCTAAGGGGAATGTACTTGTTTATCCTTTTGAAGCGTAAAGTTTTATTGCAAATCCCTAAACCTAGTAGTTAAAAATACAGGCTTTAGATTCAAACTTAAATTGAATTTCAAGTCTAGGTAGACTTTAGGCAACTAACTTAACCTCCCACAGCCTCAGTTTTCTCTTTTCATACATGAAAGCAAGTAGTACCTACTTGACAAGGTTATTATGAGGGTTAAGTTTGATATTTTATGTTGAAGGGTGAGCACAGTTTTTAGTTATGTATGTAGTGAAAACTCATTGATGGTGGTGGTTAATGTGAGGTTTTGTTTAATTGGTCTCATTCATATTCAAGAGCTTTATTTTTTTGAGATGGAACCTCGCTGTGTCACCCAGGCTGGAGTGCAGTGGTACAATCTCTGCTCACTGCAACCTCCGCCTCCTGGGTTCAAGCGATGCTCCTGCCTCAGACTCCCGAGTAGCTGAGATTACAGGTGTGCACCACCATACCCGGCTAATTTTTTTGTATTTTTAGTAGAGACAAGATTTCACCATGTTGGCCAGGCTGGTCTCAAACTCCAGACCTCAGGTGATCCACTCGCCTCAGCCACCCAAAGTGCTGGGATTACAGGTGTGAACCACTGCATCTGACCCATATCTAAGTTTTTAAGTGTGAAAAGGAACAGATGAGTTTAATTTGATTCGTACAGAAAGTATTTGGCCAGATTGTTAATCTTAAGTATACTTAGTAGCTGTGTGACCTTGGGCAGATTACATAATATCTCTGTGTCTAGTTTGCTTATCTGTAAAATGGGCATCATGATATTACCTAACTCATAGGATTGTTCAGGTTTAAATGAATTTATACATAAAAAGCATTTAGAGTAACACTTGGCACTCTGTAAATATTAGCTTTTATTATTCTGTATTGTAAAATATTTTTCCCATGATTTTTAAATACATTGTTTATAGAGAACTTGATTCATTCATTCCATAAGTTTTTATTGAGCAGATACTATTCTATGCAGGGAGGAAGCAGCAGTGAATAAAAACAAAACCTATTTTCCCTCAGACCTTAAATAAGTGGTAGAGGGCCCAAATACAGTAAAAAAGCAGGTAGTGGTAAATGCTATGGAGAAAAATAGAGTAGGCTAAGGGGAAATAGAGATATAGGTGGGGAAGGGGTCATTTTATATTCATGATTAAGAAGGCTTTTCTGAGGACAGGAAATGTGAACAGAGACTTGAGTAAAATGAGGAAGCAAACAAAAGTTTAAAATAAAATATAGAAATGTTTTTATTGTACTTTAGAGCTCATACAATTTTAAGGATATTGGCCTTTTGGTTTTTATATTTATGTTTTTCTCTTTGCTATTTGCCTTTTTATATTTTTATGATACACATGTCATAAAGCACTTTTAACTTTTGTTTTCTTCTTACACATTTTACTTTTAAAACTCTGCCTACAACTTATATTGAGGTGAATGTCAGGCAGTAACAAGAAGAAACATGAGGTAGAAGAAGGATAAAAATTGACAGTGGCTTCTTTCAATAATGGTAGGCCAGGTAATTGGGACCCTCCTTTTATTGATGACATCTAAAAAAGCTGGACAGATATTAAAATGTCTTTCTTAGAAGCATGAAAAAGCTAACAAGATAGTGAAGAATTGTAGGGCTGAGGTACTGAAGAAGACAGGATTCCTAGAAGGTCAGCCTATTACTTAGGGTTATTTTTGCCTTGGATTATATTTGCCAGTTCCGAAGAGGCAACTAAGAAAATGAACTGTGCTTTTGGCAGCATCATAAGACTAGAGGGATAAAAGGAAAAGTTCAGTTTTCCACCAAGGGCCTGGACCCCAAAGGGGCTGCACCTCAGGAGTCAGGGTGAAGCAGAAGTAAATGAGCCTTCTCTGAGATTGTAGCCTGAGTTTTCAGGCCCTGAACTTGGAGTAAAATGCTTTTTCTACATTGCAGGTGTCTTCAAACACCTAGGAAAGTAACTAAAAATGAGAGGAGAATAATGCATTTTTTTGTAGCCTCAAATTATTATACCTCTTAATGTCTATTAGCCTAATTTTTGTTGCTAAGTATTCTGTGATTATTTTGATTTCTGTAGTCCAACAATTTGGAATGTTTTTAAATTTCCAAGTGCTTGAGTTTATTGTTTGTTAACATTTTTCTTAATGATATCTAATTTTATTTCCTTCTGAACATAGAATAAGACTTTATCAGATTCTGCTTTGGTCTATATTGAGATTTTCTTTGTATATTAATTTATAGTCCATTTTTTGAAATGCCCTTTGGATTCTTGGGGGAAGGGAAAAGGTTTATCTTTGTAATCTGTTTACATATATATTTTCAATCTTTCATATATATTCTCTTTATTTAATATTATTCATACCTTCTGTATTTTTTTATTTTTTACTTAGAGACAGTATCTCATTGACCTGGTATAATTGTATTTCTGTCAAATTTTTCTTTTATTTTTCAGTTTATGTAATAAAAATTTATGACCACTATCTGTTTACCATGGATTTTCTCTTTTTTCAAACTAGCATTTCTTCCTTTTCTATCTAACGCTTTTTGCCTTGAATTCTGCTTTGTCTAACACTTACACTGCTATTCTTCCTCTTTTTATCTCCTGATGGCATCTGTAGTTGTTTTGTTTTTAACCTTTTTGTGTAGGAATGTCTCACGTAAGCAGCATATAGTTTAATTTTACTTTTTTACTGAATTTGGTAGTCTTTTTGTAGGAATTACCATTCACTAGCTACCATTTACTGAGAGGTTACTTACTGTGTGACAGGCACTATGCCAAGAGATTTTCTATATATAATTTCTCACTTAATCTTTAGAACAAATCCAAGAAGATGCCCCTGCTATACCTGTTTTAGAGATGAGGCAGTTGAAGTTCAGCGAGGTTCAGTAACTTACATGAGTTGATCTTTCTTAACTCACTACTGATGGCTGTTAGAACCTTTCTCTTAAATCCTGCACTGTAAGGCTAGTGGATGTACATAACCAATTACCAAATTTCTACGGTATTTAAAGTGCTCTGTCAGATTGAAGAGAGATCTTCTGGTACTTGTCTCCTTGTAGAGGGGACAATGTATTCCTGAATAAGTTAAAGCTGTGTGTAGTTTTTCCATTACCAAAACAGCACATGAAAACATTTATGACTTCATGTCTCAGAATACAATAAACCACCTTCTGTCCATTTCTGCCCCATCTTTTATTGCTGAGAGTTGTTTTCCCTGAGTAGTTGTGGAAAGAAAGTCACTGGTTGATACTAAGGGTGCACCAGAAGCTGGCAACACTTCTCTGGCCGCGTTAGAAAGCAGCGCCCTCACAGTGGCAGGGGGACTTTCCTCCTGGTCAGCTAAGACCAGGTGTCTCTGCAAGAGTCTATAGAGTAGACATAAATGAAAATCTACCTCCCGTTTGGCTCTACATTTCTTTTTTGTGGTCTTGTCTATTTTTTTTTTTTTGATTAGTTGAAATTCCTCTTGAGATGTAGTAGTTCGTAAATGTTCCATTTCTTGTGCTATTACAACTTGGCAAATTTGCCTGTTATCATGAACATTTCAATGGGAAGATAAGGTTAATAATAGTTGGCAGTAGTTTGTTGTCATCTTAGGCAAGAACCTTTTATAACCATTAGACTTTCCTTTCTACTTTAAAAGAGCATGAAGTATGTATGAGAGAGATAGGGACATTAAGAGATAGGTAGGGTAGCTTGAAATTTTTACTAATACTTTACCAATTTATTTACTTAAGATGTCCTGTGAAGTCAATGAGTGCCGAAAAATTGAGAGTCTTGAAAACTTGTATCTGGATTTTGATGATGATGTCACAGAACTTGAAACTTTTGGAGTAACCACCACCAAAGCATCAAAGTCACCAAGTCCAGCCAGTACTTCCACATTACCTAAAATGACAGATGCTCCTACAGCCCCCAAAGCAGGAACTACAACTGTGGCACCAAGTGCACCAGACATTTCTGCTAATTCTAGAAGTTTATCTCAGATTCTCATGGAACAATTGCAAAAGGAGAAACAGCTGGTCACTGGTATGGATGGTGGCCCTGAGGAGTGCAAAAATAAAGATGATCAGGGATTTGAATCATGTGAAAAGGTATCAAATTCTGACAAGCCTTTGATGCAAGATAGTGACTTGAAAACATCTGATGCCTTACAGTTAGAAAATTCTCAGGAAATTGAAACTTCTAATAAAAATGATATGACTGTACATATGGTACATGCTGATGGTGAAAGACCTAATGTTCTGGAAAACCTAGACAGCTCAAAGGAAAAGACTGTTCGATCAGAAGCAGCTAAAACTGAAGATACAGTTCTCTGCAGCAGTGATACAGATGAGGAGTGTTTAATCATTGATACAGAGTGTAAAAATAATAGTGATGGAAAGACAGCTGTTGCGGGTTCTAACTTAAGTTCTAGACCAGCTAGTCCAAATTCTTCTTCAGGACAGGCTTCTGTAGGAAAGCAGACTAATAGTGCTTGTAGTCCAGAAGAGTCATGTGTTTTAAAAAAACCTATCAAACGAGTATATAAAAAATTTGATCCAGTTGGAGAGATTTTAAAAATGCAGGATGAGCTCTTAAAGCCAATTTCCAGAAAAGTACCCGAATTGCCCTTAATGAATTTAGAAAATTCTAAACAGCCTTCTGTTTCTGAGCAATTGTCTGGTCCTTCAGACTCCTCTAGTTGGCCGAAATCTGGATGGCCTTCTGCATTTCAGAAGCCAAAAGGACGTAAGTAAATATTTACAAAGAGCTTACAGCGTTTTACTTGTTCTTTTTCCTTAGGTTTTTCTCCCTCATTCCTTTACTTTGTTACAACCTGTTTTGTAATTGTCATATAGTCATTGATAATTCATTTTTTCAGTCTATTGATCAGTATTTCAGCTTCCAAAATGTCCTCTCTAGATATGTATACAAAGGCGTATGGGTCTTGTGACTTGTGTTTATGTAACATGTACAGTGACTGCTAAGCTATAGTAAAGTGATTTGTCAAACTGATGAAGGGTAAGTGCATCCAGAATAATCATAAACATTGATTGATTTAAAAATTATTTATACTTGGTGTTGGTCTGCAGTTTTATACTTTTTGGTTTTGTGAAATCTGCTCCTCAGCTCTGCCTAGATTAGGAATAGCATTACTTTTTAAACTCTTTTTCTTTTCTCACATTGTATGCTGTCTCACGAATTTATACTTTGCCTAGAGTTCGTCGTGAAGGTTAAAAGGAGAAGAACCTTAAAGCTAGGATTTCAGCTCTTACTGCAGTTCCAGTAAAAGTAAACAGAAATGGTAATAGTGTGAAGGTCCATTAGGCAGAGTAGAAAATTAAAGATGATAGAAGTTTTAAAATAGGTAATTGAATTGTTATATCCTTGATTATGCTGGGTAAAGAGCTAATATATTTTAAAAATGAGAAATACTATTTTTAAAGGTTTGCCGTATGAACTTCAGGACTATGTTGAAGATACATCGGAATACCTAGCTCCTCAGGAAGGAAATTTTGTGTATAAGTTATTTAGCCTGCAAGACCTGTTGTTACTTGTACGCTGCAGTGTCCAAAGGATAGAGACAAGACCACGTTCTAAAAAACGGAAGAAAATCAGAAGAGTAAGTAGTTATTCGTGGAGTTAGAATGTGATCACGTAAATAATCAACAGATACTTAACATGCCATTAAATTGCTGAGTTTAAATTGCTGAGCACTCTTAGTAGTATCTTCAGGTTGAATTTTGTTTTTTTGTTTTTTTACTAAAATACTGAGATCAATTTTAATAAGGGAAAGTGTTTCTATATAGTAGCCATAAATGCTGGTAACATTCATGCTTGGAATATACAAATTGAGCATCCCTAATCCAAAATTCAAAATGCTCCAAAGTTTGAAAGCTTTTGAGCTCTGACATGGTATCCCAAGTGGAAAATTCCACCACACGTGACCTCATATGATGAGTCACAGTCCAAAATCCAGTCAAAACTTGGTTTCATTTGTAAAATTATATAAAATGTTGTATAAAATTACCCTCAGGCTCTATGTATATGGTGGGTATGAAACATAAATGAGTTTTGTGTTTAGACTTGAGTCCTGTCCCCAAGATATCTCATTATGTATATGTAAATATTCCAAAATCTGAAACACTTCTGGTCCCAGGCATTTCAGATAAGGGATACTCCACCTGTATAAACTTTATAAAAAACTGCATCATCATAGATTACATCTAGATTGGCACATATATTCCTGTTTTCTCTGGGAATTTGGATTTCCGTTATTACATGTGAACTCGAGCTCTTTTCTGTCTTTCTTTGGGGCTCTTTCTTGACTTGCTTTAGAAGTCCAAGTAGAACTTTTGAAAGATGGCCTTTCACACACATTTAAGGTCTTTTCAGGATTGTTAGAAGACCAAATCTCTTCCTTTCTTTTTCTCCCTGTTGTTTCTTTTGGGTTTGATATAAATATTTTCCTCAGGAAAAAAATGTATACTGCAATTTGAGTAATTACTTCTTTTAATAATTTTTCGTATTTGAAATTCTCTTTCAGATTAGTTTGCATTTTTTTGTGTATGACTGCCGAATTCTGATAAAGGGAATCTTCTATATTATAATTGAGTATGTAATATTAAAGTGTGTTTCCTTTAATTTTTCTTGAGGATTTTTTCTGTTGTATATATTTGTCACAGTACACATTTGAAAAAACAAGTTTTGGTGTCTCTGTCTCTTGTTACCTAACTTACTGCCCAATAAGAATCATCACTGACCACTTTGAATGTCAGTGTGTTTTGAGGTAGGGATCAGGTGAATCCAGACTAGTGATGTTCTAGTATTGATCCTTGTGGAGTACTTCCTGACTACTGTATCATATTAAAGAATAACTGGGCCGGGCAGGGTACCTCAAGCCTGTAATCCCAGCACTTTGGGAGGCTGAGGTGAGTGGATCACGAGATCAGGAGATAGAGACCATCCTGGCTAACATAGTGAAACCCCATCTCTACTAAAAATACAAAAAATTAGCCAGGTGTGGTGGCGGGCGCCTGTAGTCCCAGCTACTTGAGAGGCTGAGGCAGGAGAATGGTGTGAACCTGGTAGGTGGAGCTTGCAGTGAGCCGAGATCGCACCACTGCACTCCAGCCTGGGCAACAGAGTGAGACTCCGTCTCAAACAAAAAAAGAGAAAAAAGAAAATGTTGTAAGTAGTACTATTTAAACTAGTTAGGTAAAAGTACATCCCCCATCAGTGTTTCCTACCTAAAAACCAACTTACTTAAATAGAGCTTTGAAATACTTAGAAGTCTCTTCAACCTCTGCTGTCCAAGAACTTCATCTCTTCTTTGTTTTTCCTTGGTTCTTCAATTATTTTAGTTGTCATTTTAGTTTCCAGTATCATTTATGTTTCCTTACCAAAACTCTGCTTAATAAGAGTTGCACTTTAAAGGAGAACTTAAAACATCAGCCAGTCTAAAGTGATGGGATAAAATAAAGAGTCTAGGCCAGGCACAGTGGCTCACGCCTCTAATCCCAACTCTTTTGGAGGCCGAGGCAGGTAGATCACCTGAGGTCAGGAGTTCAAGACCAGCCTGGTCCACGTGGCGAAACCCCATCTCTACTAAAAAAAATACAAAACTTAGCCGGGCGTGGTGGTGCACCTGTAAACCCGGCTGCTCGGGAGGCTGAGGCAGGAGAATCCCTTGAACCTGGGAGGTGGAGGTTGCAGTGAGCTGAGGTTGTGCCATTGCACTCCAGCCTAGACAGCAAGAGTGAAACTCCATCTCAAAACAAAAGAATAATAAAGAAGCTAATTTGAACCACAAGATAAAACAGAATTTTCTGAGTTCGTTACATGATTATGAAATCCACACCCAGGAACTTTGGATGATTTCATAATATCTATTACTGTCTGTCTCAGTTAACCAAGTATCCTAAGTGCTTTATGTGAAAAATTGGAACAGAACCAAGAAAAACTTTTACTTGGGGAGCCACTTATCAAGGGAAAAAAATAGTAAATTTTATTTTTATAGTATGAAAATTTTGATTATCCTTAAATTTTTTTTTTTTTTTTTGAGACGGAGTCTCGCTCTTTCGCCCAGGCTGGAGTGCAGTGGCCGGATCTCAGCTCACTGCAAGCTCCGCCTCCCGGGTTCACGCCACTCTCCAGCCTCAGCCTCCTGAGTAGCTGGGACTACAGGCACCCACCACCTTGCCTGGCTAGTTTTTTTTGCATTTTTTTAGTAGAGACGGGGTTTCACCGTGTTAGCCAGGATGGTCTCGATCTCCTGACCTCGTGATCCACCCGTCTCGGCCTCCCAAAGTGCTGGGATTACAGGCTTGAGCCACCACACCCGGCTGATTATCCTTAAATTTTTACTTCAATTTTGGGATACTAAGCAAAGATGAAATGTTCAGGCCTTTTTTTCCCCTGGCTTCCTGGAGATGGCAGTAGAATACATACAGAAATTAAAACTGGTTTTAGGACTTGGTTTTATAGATAGAGTAGTTTATCAAAGAAAATCTCCTGAAGTATTTGCTTTTCAGAAATAATACATATTTTTAAATTTTAAAAAATATATGGAATTAACTCTGTTACTCATTTCTGATCCAGAAATGTGATCCTTTTTGTCAGTCAACTTTTTTCTTAACTCTGCTGTAAACTAGCTATGTGTCCTTGAGGAAATTTCATTCATTCTTTTTTTAAAAGAGACAAGAGTCTTGCTCTGTTGCCCAGGCAGGAGTGCAGTAGCACAATCATAGCTTACTGCTTCCTTGAACTTCTGGGCTCAACTGATTCTCCCACCTCAGCCTCCTGAGTAACTAGGACTGTAGGCTTGTGCCACATGCCCAGCTAATTTTTTTTTTTTTTAATTTGTTATAGAGTCAGGGTCTTGCTAGTTTTTCCAGGCTAATCCTGAACTCCTGGCCTTAAGTAATCTTCCCACCTCAGCCTCCCAAAATGCTGGGATTACAGACTTGAGCCATTATACCTAGCCTGAGCAAATTTCTTTATCTCGACCTTGTATTTGCTCTAAAGTTATGAGAGACTAAATCATATGCAGATAACCATTTGCTAGATTATATAATAAAATGCTTTTAATGATAAAATTATCCTAATCCCATTTAATTTTGTTTTTAATTGAGAAGACACACTGGAGGCCTTACCTCCTGAAAATATGGTCCCTGAAACAATAGCTTGTTATTAATGCAAAACCTTGGACTCTACCCCAGATTCTACATTTTAACAAGATCACCAGATTTCTCACATGCATGTAGTTCAGGGGCGATCACATGAAACCGCACTTACTGTTGATAACAAAACTATTAGTGGATTTGAATCATTCTTACCACCAACATTGTGCCAAGCCCACTCTTTCAAGAATTAAGAAATATTTATGAAATATTTTCAAATCTGCAAATGGTAACATCTTAGTATAATTTCAAAAGTACTAATTAGCCTTATCAGTGCAAGTTAAGTACCTTAAATCATGTGTTTCTCTTTCTGCAACTGGAAATAGACTCCTGTTAAGAGCAGAGTTTTCTTTGAAGCTATAGCATAAGCACAGTGAACAACATGTATTTCTTTGCTTATGCTCCTTTAGACCAGTAATAGGTACAGTCATTTTACTTATGTAGTGTCCTGACCAGTGAATTTGGATGGATAATTTGTCAGATACTTCATGTCTGAAATAAAGCCGTTAAATTGAAGACAATGACAAACAGGTTTTAATGTAGGCATTATTGCTCTTTCATTTGTAGGATGAAACAAGCTGCTCAGAGTATTTGAGCCTGAGACAGTGTGACTCATGCTTTAAAGGAGCAAAAAAATTCTACCTTTTTTATCCTCTTGAGAATGACTAGTAAAAAAGTCAGTCCTTCCCAGCATCTAGCTTTGAGCCTTTGGGCAACTATGTATGATGGGCTCTGTTGCAAGGATTCTGCTGTCATTCACATTCCCTGACAAATCAAACCTTGCCTATGTGGGGAGGTATGTCAATTTTGGTCAGAAATGGGAATGGTGAGGAGAGATCTCTTTTATCCATCCAACTTTTGGCACCAAACATTCTTCTATCCATCAGGCTTGAATGTATCCATCTTACAGTGTGAATCCTGCTGTAACTGAAAGGATGAAATAAGATTATCTGAAAGCATTCTGAAAGTGGCAAAGTTGGATAGGCAAATGTATTTATTATTAATAGTAAATTAGTAGAGCTTTGAAAAAGTATAATCTTGCATTGCAGCAATTTCCAGTTTATGTACTACCAAAAGTAGAGTATCAAGCTTGTTATGGAGTTGAAGCTCTGACTGAAAGTGAACTTTGTCGCTTATGGACTGAAAGTTTATTGCATTCCAACAGCTCATTTTATGTTGGTAAGTTATACAGAAGTCTTTGTTCTCCTTTTTAATTTCCTTGTAATTACATACTTGTAAATTCAATTATGAATACTTCTATTCTGTACTTTTTTACTTTAGTTTTTATGTATGTATGTATTTATTTTTAGACAGGGTCTCACTCTGTTACCCAGGCTGGAGTGTAGTCATGTGATCATAGCTCACTGTAACCTCAAACTCCTGGCCTCAAGTGATCCTCCTGCTGCAGCCTTCCAAGTAGCTGGGGCTGCAGGCATGTGCTACCATGCCCAGCTAATTTTTTTGTTTTTTATTGAGATGGGGTCTCATTATGTTGCCCAGACTAGTCTTGAACTTCTGGCCTCAAGCAATCCTCCTACCTTAGCTTCCAAGAGCTCTGATATTACAGGGATGACCTACCATGCTGACCTATTTTAGAAACACTTATTTAATAGTATAATCAAAAATACACATTTGTTTTCTAAAACAAGCTGCTTTTAAGGGTACTGTTTAATTGGTCAACTATTGATCTATACATTTATTTTGAAATTTTCTTATAATGACACTGCTTTTAAAACCTCAAATATTTTGATGAAATGACTTTTTCCTTTGTTTTTGTTTTGTTTTTCTGGGGCATGGGGATTAGGCTGGAATTCAATTTGCATTGGCTCAGTTCATGTACACTTAACATCCTCACATAATAGATTACTTACTAGTCATTATTGGTAGTATTTCCTCCCACTGGAATGTCCAGTATCGAACATCTCAATGCATCCCATAAATCTCAATCCCTCCTAATCATCTCAGACTACTCCTCTGTGTAGTCTTTTGCTTCTTTGATCTCTCAGTGCGGTCTTTTACTTCTCTGTGAATTGTTACTTTGTACTTTATTGTTCTCTCTTAACACCTATCCCTTCTTCCTGTTAGACAATAAACAGCTTAAGGTCAGAGTCTGATAAAATTCTGTATTGAGTCTAATAAAATTTTGTATTATAGTGGTTAGCTTGATTGCTTGTATGTAATAAATGCTATGAGGGTTTGTTTCTTAAAGAAAGGTTATTCACTTAAAATGTTTTTCCTGTTTTGGTTAATCAGTATTTTGTTTTCATGTTTTATGAGAGTATTAAGTAGATAATTGATTCTTTCTGCTTAACTCAAAAAAGGAAGTAGCTAAATGCACTAATTGGTGATAGGCTGCCTCCCTCCTCTTCCTTCATAAACATACTCGAAGTTTTTGTAGTAATTTTCAGTCTATAACCAGAATTTCAATGTTCCTCCAAAGACCTCACAATCTCAGTGTTAGCTACTTGAATGCAATTTGCCAGCCATATCATTTTAGGAAAGGACCAAATAAAAACTTATGAGTGAAATTTTGTTTAAAGTACTGACAGAGAACAGAGATTCATGACCAAAAAAAAAAAAAATTTAAGGTTTCAGTTTTTAAATGTACAGTTTAACGTCAACTGTGTGGATTACTTCATCTTAATTATTTTTTAAAATCCTAAGTAATCCTAACTGCTGATTATTCTCTGTGAATCCTATCCTCTTGTAAGCCTTTCATTTCAATGTACTGGGATAGTATTTTTGGCTTCTGTGCCAAGTGTTTGGTGAAAAGCATATATTGTGTGGTTGTGGGATTTTGGTTTGTTTGGGGTTTTTTGGTGGGGTGTAGGTATGCGGGGGCGATATGTTTTAAAATACTATTTTAAAAACATCTGAGTTTTTGAGTTTTTTAAAATGTTGTTATAATACCCTTTTAATTTAAGGAAGATGTTCAAGAAAATCACTTGAAGTGCTTTTAAAAGTGGAGATTGCTGGCCCCACCCTGGAGTGTCTGATTTACTAGGTCTGTACTGGGACCTGAGACTTTCTCAGGTGGTACTGATGCTGCTAGTTTAGGGACCACACTTTGAGAATCAATTCTATAGCTTATAGTCTCTTTTTCCAGTAGAATAAACACACTTGTGATTTGTTTGTTCGCTTTGCTTTGCTATAAACATGTTCCCCACTTTCCCTAGTTGCAGTACTCTTTTTATCTTTTCCCTATAAAAACTTCAGGATTTACTCCTTTAAGACAATTTCCCACATAGTCTCATCGCAACTTCTGCATCCACCCTCCAACCCTATAATATTTATCAATTCTATATAGTTGACATACAGGCAGTCCTCACTTGGCTCACAGTTTCAATAAGCACAAGTTTTAGTTATGACTGTGTGTTAACAGTAATTGTATAAAGTATAAGCTTCACTGCTGGCTCTTCAGTCCACAGATCACTACATAAATAACAGGCACATCATGATCAGTGACCAGTCATGTCACTTCTTTCAAAGTCTGTTTATAATTGGTTATTGTGTACCCATTGAGCTCATGCACAGAAAGCAGAGTGTGCAGTTGTGTTGACTCTTTGTCTCCCAGTGATACACCCATGTGATATTTTACCAAAGTAGGTAATCAAAAGAATCGGCCAACAAATATTAAAGCAAAGCAAAGAAACAAAAGAGGGGATACTGCCAGAAGTGAAATTTGAATGGAACATAAATGGAATTACAGAGGAAATAGCAGAGACTGGGAATGTTGGCACTGCTATTGTTCCAGTGACTCTAGATTTGCTGCTGCCAGACAAACTTAGTGAAAGCGTTGTGACATAAAGGATGAACAAGTGACACTGGCATAAGATTTTACACTAAACAAACTCCTGAAGATAATTTCATGATATTGAGAGCACAAAGGATACAGTGTCGGAAGCTGATCCTTAGGAATATAACGGTTCACCATGGCATTGAAAAGATGCATCCAGCCAGGTGAGGTGGCTCACGCTTGTAATCCCAGCACTTTGGGAGGCCGAGGCGGGTGGATCATTTGAGGTCAGAGTTAAAGACTGGCCTGGCCAACATGGTGAAACCCTGTCTCTACTAAAAATATAAAAAATTAGCTGGGCAGTAGTCACTTGTGCCTGTAGTCCCAGCTACTCAGGAAACTGAGACAGGAGAATTACATGAGCCTGGGAGGTGGAGGTTGCAGTGAGCCAAGATCACACCACTGCACTCCAGCCTGGCCAACAGAGTGAGCCCCTGTCTCAAAAAAGAAAAAGAAAAGATGCATTCTTCCTAGTAACAAGTTGTGCAAGAAGGTAACAAGCACTGTTCAAACTGCTCTTCACTAACGTTTCATAAAGAAATAAAACACTTTAGTGTTTTGAATTAAAGTGTACTAAAATATTTTACTGTTCTGTTCATTTTCCTGTATATTTATGATTGATAGTTTATAGTGTTTTGACAAAAATTTCAAAGGTAACCAAACAGTTGTAATTTTCCCCATTGATTGTTAAAATTGTAGGGTTTCAGCCCGTATGGTCATTTTTATGGTCCCCACACTGCATGCAAAGCAAGGAGTCACTATACACATATGAATGCATGTATGCTTGTATATGTTTATGTGCATATATGTATGAATGAATGCTTGTATATAAAGTCTTTATTTTTATTATACATAGATTTTATTTGTCCTCTCTAAATCAGTGCTTTCCAACCTTGATGCAGATAAATATTTGTACAGCACACTGTGATATATAAGAGAGATTGCTTGTAGCTGAAGGGCAATAGCCAGGGAGCTTTTGCCATCCCCAGCATTGCTTAGCTGCCTGAAGGGCTGAGGTGATGAGTATCTTAAGCACATATATATCTTATTTGAGGCCAACAGATTAGAAAGCTCCAATGTTGAGAGAGTTGTGAACTCCTTGAGGAGGTAGATCCTCAGAGCACTTAGTATGGTATTGTCTGTATAGTTATTTTTGACAGACCATAATTGACACACACTATAATACTTTTTTAAATGAATTTCTTTCAAAAGGTAAGAACTATTAGTCTTCTCAAAGACATAATTAGTAAACATCTAAAAGTTATGCTTAATATTTCCTTTCTGTGGTTATTAAATCATTACAATGTGTCTTTGTTATTAGAAATGCCACTGTGTAATGAGTGTAATCAGTGTATGAGCATAAAGCAAATGAAAGGGGGCTTGGTAAGAAAATGAAACATTAAATTATGTGCAATTTTAATTGTCCCAGTGATTGACATCAGCTTTCCAGGTAATTTGTTTTGAGACCTAAATATTAGGAGTTAAAAAGATAAAAACAATTTGTTTTCAACATTGATACGTGTTAAATTCTCATCATGCCAGTTGATGTTTTTAACTATGGTACAATACCTACGATTTTTGTGTTGACTTGATCATATAACATTTAACCCGGAACTATCTTTTATGTCACTCTTCCTTGGTATATTTCAGGACCTTAGTATCAGCTCTCAACCTGTTTTGTTTTAGAACATATGCATTACTTTTTAAAACAAAAGCATCATATTGAGAATTTGCTGTTTTGTTTTTTGGAATTCTAGATTCACATTGTGTTTGTAAAAAAAAGGAAGAGTCGGGGCCGGGTGCTGTTGCCCACACCTGTAATCTTAGCACTTTGGGAGTCCAAGGCAGGTGGATTGCTTGAGGCCAGGAGTTCGAGACCAGCCTGGCCAACATGATGGAACCCCATCTCTACCAAAAATACAAAAAAAAAAAAAAAGATAGCTGGGAGTGGTGGCGGACAACTGTAGTCCTAGCTACTCAGGAGGCTAAGGCACAAGAATAGCTTGAACCTCAGAGGCAGACATTACAGTGAGCCAGGATCTCGCTATTGCACTCCAGCCCAGGAGACAGAGCAAGACTCTGTCTAAAATAAATAAATAAATGAATAAGACTTTGGCCAGGCTCAGTGACTCACGCCTGTAATCCCAGCACTTTGGGAGGCTGAAGCAGGTGGATCACCTGACGTCAGGAGTTCAAGACCAGCCTCACCAATGTGATGAAACCCAGTATCTACTAAAGATACAAAAAGTTAGCCGGGCCTGGTGGTGGGCACCTGTAATCCCGTCTACATGGCAGGCTGAGGCAGGAGAATCGCTTGAACCCAGGAGGCGGAGGTTGCAGTGAGCCAAGATCATGCCTCTGCACTCCAGCCTGGGCAACAAGAGCGAAACTTTGTCTCAAAAAGTAAGACTTTAGGGAGTCTTACTTTCTGCTGTAAGGAGAACTGACTGCTTTGATTTTTTTTTTTTTAAACTGTAGGAAATCTTACAGTGTGCTTTAATAAATTTTTTTTTTTGAGACAGAGTCTTACTCTGTCGCCCAGGCTGGAGTGCAGTGGCACTGTATCGGCTCACTGCAACCTCCGTCTCCTGGGTTCAAACAATTGTCCTGTGTCAGCCTCCCAAGTAGCTGGGATTACAGGCGCCCACCACCATGCCTGGCTAATTTTTTAATATTTTTAGTAGAGGTGAGGTTTCACTATGTTGGCCAGGCTGGTCTCGAACTCCTGACCTCAGGTGATCTGCCTGCCTCAGCCTCCCAAAGTGCTGGGATTACAGGTATGAGCCACTGTCTCAGCCTAATTAAAAAATATGAAGCCAGATTTTCATAATCTAATTTTTACCTTCAGAACCAAGTGTGTCTTAGAAAGCCCCTGTACATTTGATTTTATCTGCTTGTTTTCATAATATGTACTTATTTCTCCTCACAAACGCCATACAAATGTAACTTTAATAGGAATTAGAAACACCAGTATTTTAATAGTTGTTGTTCATAAATTGTAGGCTTTGAAATGATTTTGTATGTTTGGACATGTGTAAACTTTTATATATTCAGCAAATATTTTAGAATGAATATAAATGTTTTATAATCTGAATTATGTCATTTTAGAATATAGCTGTACTTAAGACTTAATAAAATGTATATTTCTACTAAATATAAAATTTATTTACAGTTATTAAAATTTGTAAAAGCATCTTTAAGGAGACAGGATAACTTGGTTTTTTGTTTTCTAAATACTGCAATTGCTTGTTCTTTTTAAGTTTGATATTTTATTTTAGGGCATATTGATGCATTTACTTCAAAACTTTTTCTGCTGGAAGAAATTACTTCAGAAGAATTAAAAGAAAAGCTTTCAGCACTCAAGTAAGAAAGTTTACTTTGTGGTGAGAATTGAAAAACTTGTTAATGTGATCATTAATTTTTCTTTAAATATTGTTTAAGCTTAAAGTATTTTCAAGACTTTTAATCCTTTTATGTATAGAGGTCTCATTGGACCCAGTTTTGTTTTGTCTTGTTTTTGTTCTTTGTGTTTTTGAGACAGAGTCTCTTTCTGTCACCCAGGCTGGAGTGCAGTGGTGTGATCTCGGCTCACTGCAGCCTCAGCCTCCCTGGTTCAAGGGATCCTCCCACCTCAGCCTCCTGAGTAGGGACTACAGGCATGCAGCAGCATGCCCAGCTCATTTTTGTATTTTTCGTAGAGACAGGGTTTCACCATGTTGCCTGGGCTGTTTTCAAACTCCTGAACTCAAGCAATCTGCCTGCCTCAGGCTCCCAAAATGCTGGGATTACAGGCATGAATCACCATGCCTGAGCAGCAGTATGTTTTGTTTTGTTTTTGTTTGTTTATTGATAGATGACGGTTATATATATTTTGGGGTACATGTGATTTTTTTTTTTTTTTTTTTTTAGATGGAGTTTCACTCTTTTTGCCCAGGCTGGAATGCAATGGTGCAATCTTGGCTCACTGCAACCTCCACCTCCCGGGTTCAAGCAGTTCTACTGCCTCAGCCTCCCGAGTAGCTGGGATTATAGGCATGCACCACCATGCCCAGCTAATTTTGTATTTTTAATAGAGATAGGGTTTCTCCATGTTGGTCAGGCTGGTCTCGAACTCCCGATCTTAGGTGATCTGCCCGCCTCGGCCTCCCAAAGTGCTGAGATTACAGGTGTGAGCCACCATACCCAGCCTTACATGTGATATTTTAATACCTATATACAATGTGTAATGACCAAATCAAGATAATTGGAATATCCTTCACCTCAAACATTTATCTTTGTGTTAGTAACATTACAATTCTTCCCTTCTAGCTATTTTGATATATACACTAAATTATTATGAATTGTAATTTCCCTACTATGGTATTGAATACTAGAAGTTACTCCTCCTGTCTAACCCCTTAACCAACTTCTCATTTCTCCCATCCATTTCCTTCTCAGCCTCTTGTAACTGCTATTCTGTATCTCCATGAGATCCACTTTTTGGCTTCCACATATGATTGACAGCATGCAGTATTTGTCTTTCTGTGCCTGGTTTATGTAACGACTTCCAGTTCTATCCATGATGCAAATACCAGAATTTCATTTCTTTTTTTTCTTTTTTTTTTTTTTTTTTTTTTTGAGACGGAGTCTGGCTCTGTCGTGCAGGTTGGAGTGCAGTGGCCGGATCTCAGCTCACTGCACCGCCTCCGGGGTTCACGCCATTCTCCTGCCTCAGCCTCCCGAGTGGCTGGGACTACAGGAGCCGCCACCTCGCCCGGCTAGTTTTTTGTATTTTTTTAGTAGAGATGGGGTTTCACCGCGTTAGCCAGGATGGTCTCGATCTCCTGACTTTGTGATCCGCCCATCTCGACCTCCCAAAGTGCTGGGATTACAGGCTTGAGCCACTTGCACCGGGCCAGAATTTCATTTCTTTTATGGCTGAATATACCTCTGTATGTGTGTGTGTAGGGGTGTGTGTGTGTGTGTATATGTGTGTGTGTCTGTAATCACATTTTCTTTATTCATTCATCCATTGATGGAGCCCAGACCCAATTTGTGATCTGTTTATATTATCTCCATCTCCAAATTAAATATAATGCCAGTAGCACCAGCCCTTCTACTTAAGACAAGGGAGGCTACAGCCAAAGTGGCCACTGTGCATGGGAAGCAAACATTTTACTCCATTACAGGAAAGGGAAAGGATAGTACAGTGAAAAACTCTGACAGTCTAACTTCTCAAAGTTTGCCCTTCTACTAAGCGTTACTATACACGAGACTGAAATGAATTTATCGTGCTCAGAACTCTAAATGTCTAAATGCAAAGGAAAATAACTTATGAACATTATCTCATTTTCATCTCACAAATTCCTAGGAAAGGCTGGTGGTAGTATTATCTCCATTTTATATATGAGGAAATATTAGAGTGGTGTTCCCTAGAGCACACGGCTAAGCTAGTTGCAGCCTTGGCAGTTAATATGTTTGATTCCTACTTAAGAGAAGAAATGGTTCTGACTTCTACTAGCTGCATAGTTCCAGCCTTCACAGGTTTGACATAGTTTTTTAAGGGTCCCAGATCCAAATTTGAACTCTCTGCCTGCTTCAGTATGTCTGCTTCTATTACAAGGACTGCTTCTCTTGAACAGTAACTCTTTTTTATATATGTGAATAGAAAAGCTTTTCCATACCCTAGTCTGTACCTGCCTTGCTTTTCCCAAAGAAAAACATTTTTTAAAAAAAGAAAGGAGGAGGTCGGGCACAGTGGCTCATGCCTGTAATCCCTGCACTTCGGGAGGCTGTCTCAGGAAGATCACTTGAGGTCAGGAGTTCGAGACCAGCCTGGACAACATGGTGAAACCCCATCTCTACTAAAAATACAAAAATTAGCCAGGCGTGGTGGTGGACACCTGCAATTCCAGCTACTTGGGTGGCTGAGGCAGGAGAATGGCTTGAACCCAGGAGGCGGAGGTTGCAGTGAGCCGAGATCGTGCCACTGCACTCCAACCTGGGCAAAAAGAATGAGACTCCGTCTCAAAAAAATAAAAATAGGGAGGGAGAGAGAGAGAGAAGAAAAGAAAGAAAGAAAGGACCGATGGACGGACTTCAGGTCTAGAAGAACTACTGAAGAAATTTTTAAAATAATACCTGTATTTGGCCAGGCGCAGTGGCTCAGGCCTGTAATCCCAGCACTTTGGGAGGCCGAGGTGGGTGGATCACGTTAGGAAATCAAGGCCAGCCTGGCTAACATGGTGAAACCCCATCTCCACTGAAAATACAAAAAATTAGCCAGGCGTGGTGGCAGGCACCTATAGTCCCAGCTACTCGGGAGGCTGAGGCAGGAGAAGGGTGTGAACCCGGGAGGCAAAACTTGTAGTGAGCCAAGATCACGCCACTGCACTCCAGCCTAGGCTACAGAGCGAGACTGTCTCAAAAAAAAAACTTGTATTTCCCTTTAGCTATCCTATCACGAGTGAGTGGCTTCTCTGTCATCACAGGTTTAACATACCTGTCAATTTTTTTGGAAGCTAATTCACCACCATCTCTGAAAGACAAACTCTTAGGCATATTAGCTTTACTAAAGACCTCTTATCTTTTTTTTTTTTTTTTTTTTTGAGGTGGAGTCTCGCTCTGTTGCCCAGACTGGAGTACAGTGGCGCGATCTCAGCTCACTGCAAGCTGTCCCTCCCGGGTTCACGCCATTCTCCTGTCTCAGCCTCCCGAGTAGCTGGGACTACAGGCAACCGCCACCACGCCCGGCTAATTTTTTGTATTTTTAGTAGAGACAGGGTTTCACCATGTGAGCCAGGATGGTCTCCATCTCCTGACCTCATAATCTGCCCACCTTGGCCTCCCAAAGTGCTGGGATTACAGGCTTGAGCCACCGTGCCCAGCCGTGTTTTTTTTTTAAGTATATAATTTGAACATAAAATAGTGATCTCTTTACAACTGCTGTGACTCACAAAAAGCCAAATACATTATGATAATGAAAGGAAATCATGAAATGACAAAAATTGGCCGGATGCCGTGGCTCATGCCTGTAATCCCAGCACTTTGGGAGGCCGAGGCAGGTGGATGACCTGAGGTCAGGAATTCAAGACCAGCCTGGCCAACATGGTGAAACCCCATCTCTACTAAAAATACAAAAAATTAGCTGGGTGTGGTGGCACATGCCTGTAGTCCCAGCTATTTGAAAGGCTGAGGCAAGAGAATCACTTGAGGCCGGGCGCGGTGGCTCAAGCCTGTAATCCCAGCACTTTGGGAGGCCGAGACGGGCGGATTACGAGGCCAGGAGATCGAGACCATCCTGGCTAACACAGTGAAACCCCGTCTCTACTAAAAAAATACAAAAAACTAGCCGGGCGAGGTGGTGGGCGCCTGTAGTCCCAGCTACTCGGGAGGCTGAGGCAGGAGAATGACGTAAACCCGGGAGGCGGAGCTTGCAGTGAGCTGAGATCCGGCCACTGTACTCCAGCCCGGGCAACAGAGTGAGACTCCGTCTCAAAAAAAAAAAAAAAAAAAAAAGAGAATCACTTGATTCTGGGAGGTGGAGGTTGCAGTGAGCAGAGATCATGTCACTGCACTCACTCCAGCCTAGTCTACACAGCAGGACTCTGTCTCAAAAAAAAAAAAAAAAAAAGAGGAAATGGCAAAAATTAAGTAAATATCATAATTTAATCCTAATAGAAATAAGTTTCAATATGTTTTGTTTTACATTATCTCATCCGCTGTTTTTGTTGTTGTTATTGAGGGCATTTCTCTGCCTGAGGAGCTATAATTGCTAAAAGTAAGTTTTTTGCAGTTTCATTTTACATGAATTTCTTTTATTTCTTAGGATTTCCAATTTATTTAACATCCTCCAACACATTCTAAAGAAATTAAGTAGGTAAGTATTTTTTAGGCATTTTGCTTTGATATGTCTGATTTTCTTAGATGAAAATTCTTAGAAACTTTGAAAATGTGCTGTTAGGAATAGAGACTAAATAACCTAGAAATGCAAAAATTATTATGTCAAATGTAAAAATTTATATTGTAAAAATATAAGATAATATGATAGTATCTGGCTTTAATGAGCTTGCAATTACATTTTCCTGTAAGTCTATTATTGTGTTGTTTTTCTATTGCAGCTGTAACACATTGCCACTAACTTGGTGGCTTAAAACAAAACAAATTTATTCTCTTTTTAGTTCTTGAGGTCAGAAATCCAAAATCAGTTTCACCGGGTAAAAGTCAACAGGGCTGGTCCTTTCTGAAGACTGAGGAAAGAATCATTTCTTTACCTTTTTCAGTTTCTAGTGACCACCTGTATTCCTTGACTTGTGGCTCTTTCCTCCATCATCAGGGCATGTCACTTGGATCTCTGTGTCTACATCACATTGCCTTCTCCCCTTTTGTGGTAATATCTTCCTCTGCCTCCCTTTTATAAGGTTCCTGGTGATTACTTTGGGCCTTCTCACATAATTTGGGATAATCCCCTCATCTCAAAAGTCTTAATTTAATCACACCTGCAAAACCATTAAATGTAATACAGTCACAGATTCTGGTGATTAGCATATGGATATCATGGTGGGGGACCATTATTCAGCCCACCATGGCTATATTATTTTCACTTTCAAGACTAAAAAAAAAGATCATAGAGGCCGAGCACAGTGGCTCACACCTGTAATCCCAGCACTTTGGGAGGCTGAGGCAGGTGGATCACGAGGTCAGAAGATCGAGACTATCCTGGCCAACATGGTGAAACCCCATCTCTACTAAAAATACAAAAAAAATTAGCTGGGTGTTGTGGTGTGCACCTGTAATCCCAGCTACTCAGGAGGCTGAGGCAGGAGAATCACTTGAACCCGGGAGGCAGGATTGCAGAGCTGAGATGTGCCACTGCACTCCAGCCTGGGCGACAGAGTGAGACTCCCTCTCAAAAAAAAAAAAAAAAGAAAGAAAGAAAGAACATAGAGCTAAATGAACAGTCATTTAGGTCCATGGCAAGTCTTAGAATATGGATTTTTCCCCGGTGATACATCAAACTATTTTGTTATATGAATGTTTGCATTCCTTCTCTTATGCCCTTACCAAAGGTTAAACTTGAAAACAACTTGAATCTGAACTTACAGCCAAAATCTCAAAGTTCTAGTTCTGAAGAATTCTGTTATCCAACCTGATGTCAGTTTACTTATTTGTAAAATGATGGTGTCAAGTGCAATAACTTCCTAGGTACTTTTCAGTTCTGATATTCTGTGATTATGTGACAGGATTTTTGTTTTATATATTCTGTTCTTCATGTTACATATAAAGCTTTTGCATGAAATTTGCCAGATGTTTTTTGAAATTTTATTATCAATATTTTATTTAGTTTGTGTATTAGCTTTATATTGTGGCTATAACAAATTACCACAAAATTAATGTTATAAAACAACACAAATTTATTATTTTGCAGTTCTCAAGTCAGAGGTCTAACAGGGTTCACTGAGTCAAAATCAGGGCATTGGCAAAGCTACATTCCTTTCTGTAGGCTCTGGGAAGGATCTATTCCTTGCCTTTTGTAGCTTCTAGAGGCCACCTGCATCCCTTGGCTTGTAGCTCCCTTCCTCCATCTTCAAAGTTACAAAGCCAAGTTAAGTCACATCTCCCTCTGAGTCTCTTCTGCCTTCTTCTTGCATATTTAAGGGCTATTGTGATTAGTAAAATTTGACCATTTTAAAGTCAGTTGATTAGCAACCTTAATTCCATGTGCTACCTTAATTCCCTTTGGCCATGTAACATATTCATAGGTTCCAGGTTTGGAACATAAACATTTTTAGGAGGCCATTATTCCACCTACCATAGTTTATATTCATCCATATACATTAGACAAGTACGGCACTTGTAAGATACTCCTTCTTAGAGTATCTCTCATTCTCCATGAATTAAATATTAATACATTCTTCTGTAAACGAAAGCTTTCTTCATTTTTAGTGGAGGTAGTTAAGATACATGATTTTCATTGATTAAAGCTCAATCTTTGAAATGTTATTTATTCCTATCAAATAATTATTCATTTCTTTATATGGAAATATGAAAGTTATTGGGAAAAAAATTTCCAGAGGATAAGAGCAATTGTCAACACCTATTTTCAGTTTAAAAATTGATGAAAATGTAACTTAATAGGTTTATAGGCAAATCTTTATAGCTAAAGTATGATAAATCTTTCTTTTTCAATAATATATTGTGGTAAAGAACGGATGTTCTCCTTAACATCTTTGATCCAGAGGACTGTGTAATCCCAAGAAAGCACAATGTATTTATTCATATCCCTTTAGTTCTTTATGATGTACACTGAATTATTTAAAGCTTTCTAAGGAGAAAGGAAAAATGTGGTTTTGATGTTCAACATAGCTGGTTATTGCTACAGTAGAGGATCGTGATTAAGGGTGTGGCCTGTGGAGTTCAAATGCCTGGGTTTATATCTAAGCCTACACTCAGAACTTTGGGCAAATTGCTTAGCATCTCTAATTTGTTTATTTATCACCCTAAATTAATATGCCTTGAAGGTTTATTGTGGAAGATCTAATGAGAAAATAGATGTAAAGCTATAATACAGTAGTTAGCTCATAATAAACATTTAATACCCGCTAGCTGCTGTTGTCTCTGTTATCCTCATAGCACCTCATGTTGTATCGTGATTGTTCCATTGACTGTTTCTTCCACTTTATTTTAAACTACTCAATGTAGCCAACATGTCACCTTCACTTTTGTATCTAGTCATCTGTCTATTATTAGGTACACAATAGTTGCAGTGTTAAATGAATGAAAATGCTGTAGGAATGCTTTTCAGTATAGATACCTATAAATGTCTAATCTATGGATTAGAGAATTAGGCACACTCTTTGTTTCCCATTAAATGAAAACTTACAAATTGCTATAAAAGCAAAAAGAAAATGATCAACTATTCTGAACTTTGGAGTAAGAATTAAAATTAGTTGCTTAAAAAGCATAAAAATTTAAAGATTTCTTAAATCTTATTTTATCATAAGTTTTAGAGGTGGTGTGATCTTCTCATAATTTTCAGTTTTACTAATAGATTATGATTAAGAAAGTGCTGTTGAAATTGACACAGTGAGCCAGTGGGTTGAGTTTCATTGTGTGGATTTAGCTTGCAGGAGGGTTCCTACTTGTTATCTCATGCAGCAGAAGATTCTTCACTCCTGATCTATAAGGCCTCTGATGGAAAAGTTACTAGGACAGCATACAATTTGTATAAAACACATTGCGGCCTTCCTGGTGTACCTTCCAGTCTCTCAGTTCCCTGGGTCCCATTAGATCCCAGCCTGTTATTACCATATCATATCCATCATGGAAGAATACCTTGTACTTTTCCACCTAAATCACTGGATACCACAACACAACAAAAGGTAAGATCTTTTTTGAAGTTAAAGGTTCATTAGGTTGTTTATTATTCGTCTATTTCACAGACTTTACCATATTTCAACCTGATGTTCTCATTGTCATATTAATCACAGCACCATTCTAAAAACTATATCCATAGGAAGGATAAAGTTGTATGCCGTAGTGAGTCCAGTCTACATGGTAGTGGAACTTTCTATTTTGGCAAGATTTATAAGTCAACTAAAGAAAACTCTCAGCCGGGCGCAGTGGCTCAAGCCTGTAGTCCCAGCACTTTGGGAGGCCGAGACGGGCGGATCACGAGGTCAGGAGATCGAGACCATCCTGGCTAACACGGTGAAACCCCGTCTCTACTAAAAAAATACAAAAAACTAGCTGGGCAAGGTGGCGGGCGCCTATAGTCCCAGCTACTCGGGAGGCTGAGGCAGGAGAATGGCGTGAACCCGGGAGGCGGAGCTTGCAGTGAACTGAGATCCAGCCACTGCACTCCAGCTTGGGGGACAGAGTGAGACTCCATCTCAAAAAAAAAATAAAAAAGAAAACTCTCTTAGCTTACACAGTGGGTGTGTGGGTAAGGCATCCAAGTAGTTAAATCCTTATATTCCTATGAAAAGCAAAATTGTGGGGGTTTTTTTAAATTTTTGTTTATATATACTGAGTTTCATTTCATTAAATATTTTAGGCAATTTGCAGAAGAGTACATGTAATAAATTATGATGTAATTAAACTTTTTATTTTATTTATTTTTTTTTTGAGACGGAGTCTCACTTCCAGGCTGGAGTGCAGTGGCTCGATCTCAGCTCACTGCAAGCTCTGCCTCCCATGTTCATGCCCTTCTCCTGCCTCAGCCTCCCAAGTAGCTGGGACTACAGGCGCCCACCACCATGCCTAGCTAATTTTCTTATTTTTAGTAGAGACGGGGTTTCACCGTGTTAGCCAGAATAGTCTCGATCTCCTGACCTTGTGATCCGCCTGCCTCAGCCACCCAAAGTGCTGGGATTACAGGTGTGAGCCACCACGCCTGGCCAACATTGTTAATTAGGATGAGGAAAAAGAAGTATTAGTAGTTTGTGAACAGAGTGTCTAATTAAAAATACAACTAAAGTATTAAGGACTAAATTGTGTTCTGATAAGTATTATGTAACTCCGTATTTACTGAATTACAATTAATATTACTCTCTTTATAGAATCCTTGCCAGAAGTAACAGTTGAATGACATTATCTGAAACTTATAAACCCATAGCTAGAGATATTCTCTGCTATGTCACTCATTCTGTATATTGTGTAGGAAATTCCAATTCGAGTTTAGTTGTTAGAAAAGTTTTGCACTCGGCTGGGTGCGGTGGCTCACGCCTATAATCCCAGCACTTTGGGAGGCCAAGGTGGGTAGATCATTTGAGGTCAGCAGTTTGAGACCAGGCTGGCCAACATGGTGAAACCCCATCTCTACCAAAAATTAGCCGGGCGTCATGGTGCACACCTGTAATCAATTCCAGCTACTGGAGAGGCTAAGGCAGGAGAATTGCTTGAACCCGGGAGGCAGAGGTTGCAGTGAGCCAAGATCACTATACTGCACTCCAGCCTGGACGACACAGTGAGACTCTGTCTCAAAAAAGAAAAAAAAAGAAAAGGAAAGAAAAAAGTTTTGCTCTCTACAAATGATTCTGAATGTGTTCAGGAGACAAAATCCAGTATATTTTCCTTACTTACTGCCAAAAGTGTTTGAGTCAGAATTATTGTCTGAATGTTATCTTCTCATTATGGTTGCCCCAGAGCGTCTATCACTTGTGTATTCTTCCTTTTCACTGTCTATATTTTACTGAATTAATCGGTAAATGTCTTCAAATCCTTATGAGAAACAGCTGGAATGCAAATAGTGAGGATTTTTAAATAATTTAAAGTAAACAGGGTTGTTTGTTTATGTCTTTCATTTCTCCACCCTAAGTTACTGTTTGGGAGTATCCTTTTAGAAATGGGAACTCCTTGTACATTCCTACTTAGCTTTGGCCAAGAAAGTACAAATGTTAAGTTGGGACAAGTGAAAGAATGGAGAAAGTTACTTGTTAGCATTTTAAGCTATTTTATCTTCAGTTTTGGTTGTCTGTTTCCAGTTTACTAGAAGTAGTCACTTTTATAACCTAAGGAAACATTTTCTTAAGTAACTTAAAAATAATTGAAGAACTGTTTTTGAAGGATCTGTGTTTTTCTAGGAGAGTGATTTCCTTTTAATTTAGAAACACTGATTATAGTCTCTCACCTATAACCTGTAATTCTGTGTGGAGGTGGCTTATTCCTTTTTAGTGAAAATGAACAGTTTAATACCTTGGAATTGAACAACTTTAAGTGAAAGGAAAAATGTATTATGTGTGTGCAAGGTATTTCTAAAAAAAATGAGTAATATACTGTCCTTATTGATATAGACTGACATTAAAATAGTGTTGAATGCTTTATACTTTGGAAATACTTTAATGATTTGATTCTTTTTTAAATGTGGTCTAAAATGTGCTTTAGTACAGTAAGAACACAATTTATAGTCGTGTATCAGTTAACGACAGGGATAAATTCTGAGAAATGCAGCACTAGGCAATTTTGTCTTTGTGTAAATATCATAAGCTTACTTACACAAACCTAGAGGGTGTAGTCTACTACACACCTAGGCCATATGGTATAGCCTATTGCTCTTAGGTAGTCTACAGACCTGTACACCATGTTGCTGTACTGAATACTGTATGCAGTTGTAATACACTGGTATTTGCATGTCTAAACATAGACAAGGTAATACATTGCACTGTTATATTCTAACAGCTGCGACATCACTAGATGATAGAAATTTTTCAGCTCCATTATAATCTTTTGGGACCACTGTTATACATGCAGTTCATTTTGACCAAAATGTGACTGTATTTGGAAAAGGAGAAATTCCATATGTTCACAATTTGGCTACATAATAACAATTCAATTACATGTGTATCACGGAGTGTGCTTTATGCATTCAGTCCAAGAACAAATACTTAACGAGATTATCCAGGCCCAGGTTGTTGCAGAGCCCAGCATTAGGTACAGTGGACAATTAGATAACTAATACTTGGTTTGATATATTTTTGAAAGCCAGTGGAAAGTTTTTGGTGATCTACTCACCTCCCCACAATGCAGCCCTATATTTGAGAGGAATTACCCCATCTTCCTGCCTACCTCCTAGCCAGGCCATTGGAATGGGCCTTCTAGTCCCAACCAATCTAAGCACAAATATGGATTCTGGTTTTGGCAGCAATGGTGAGATCACAGCTTTCAGGAAACCAGGGAAGTAAGACTTATATGAAATAGAAATCATCTGCCCATTTTCATGGTGTAAAAATGTATTCAAACATTTTTGCCTCTACTGTGATCGCATAGTCACAAGTCCACTTGAACTCAGGTCTCATCCTTGGATAGTACCTTTGGTACTAACCCTGAGAGATGCCAGTAGAGCCTGCTTCTGCCTCCTACTGCATCAAGCAGACATTCTATTTAAGGGTCCCATTTGCTGCCTGGGCTACTTTTGACTTCTGCTTCCAGTCTTCTTGCAACAGCTTCACACTTAGTCTTTTTCTCTTTCTACAGCTTCTGTAATAAACATTCATTTTACACATTCAAACACACACAGTCTTGCAGTGGAAGTTTTCAAAATGCTTGTTTTTCTCAAAGATTTTAACACATAGAATTAGCGTGGTCAGTATACCTTTATAGGAAATACCAGCTGAGTGAGGAGTGGTATAGATTATCCAAAAGTCACCGCACTTTTCTAATCAGTATATTACAAAAGTTCATCAGATTCACACAAACAAATCTTTACTCAGTTTGTCCTTTCTGGTCACGTAAATGTAAACCCAAAAAAATGCTTTTTAAAGGAACAGTAGATATTAAATAAGGGAAGCCAGAGTCTGAGCCATTCTCAGTGAGCCTGTAACCCCTTGGAGCAAATGCAAGTAGTATTTCTGTTGGGCTAGCATTATAAAGAGAGAGTGCTTGGAGTTACACTATCACCCATCAGTCCCAGACCTGAAATTCACTGGACAGGATATGAAGAAATAGAAGAGAACAAGGTGACTAGGGAAAATAAAGGCAGATATGGGCAGGCTCTGTGGAAATAGTTTCAGGCTGTACAGCTTTGGTCCTTCTCTGTGAGATTGGCTTCTCCATTACTCTTTTTATAGATCACATCTTTAACATGACTACATAGCAAGGGATTGTGTCTTAAGAATAGACCACCTTGGCTGGGCGCGGTGGCTCATGCCCATAATCCCAGCACTTTGGGAGGCCGAGGCGGGCGGATCACTTGAGGTCAGGAATTCCAGACCAGCCTAAACATGGTGAAACCCCATCTCTACTAAGAATACAAAAGTTAGCCAGGCGTGGTGACATACACCTGTAATCCCAGCCGCTCGGGAGTCTGAGTCAGGAGAATCACTTGAATCAGGTGGTGGAGGTTGTAGTGAGCAGAGATCGTGCCAACTGCCCTCCAGCCTGGGCGACAGAGTGGGACACTGTATCAAAAGAAAAAAAAAATGGACCCACCTCTCTTCGTTTGACTGTGTGAGCTAGAAAGTGAGGGTAAGGAAGGGTAGACTTGAAGGTAGAACCACAGCAAAGTTTCTTCCCCTACTCTAACCCCCTCTTCCCGTTTGCCCATCCTCTATATTCCCCCTTCCAGTTTTTTCTTCCCCTTTTCTTATTTCTTTCTTGCTCTCCTCTTTCAGCCCTTCACTATTTCCCTTTTACTTGGGTTCTTGTCTTTTTCTCTTCCTTATACTTTAATTCCTTTTTTTTTTTGCTTCCCTCTTTCTTAATCTTTATCTCCTTCCCATTTTCTTTCCTTATCTTCCCTACCTTTCTTATTGTCTTTCTTGTTTGTCTGTGTAATTTCTTCTCCCTGTTTACCACCTCAGACCTTCTTGTATTTTCTTTCCCTCCCTCCCTATTACTCACTTCTTCCTTTTTCTTGTCCTTCAGTTTAATTATTGCAAACACGGCACTCGTAAGGCCTGTCATTCCCTTGATTTCTAATTTATATTTTCAACCTCTAATAAATTTAACACAGAGAATAGTTTCCCCATTCACTTTTCTCCCCATCTACTCAGATCTGTCCACTTCTCTGATGGTTATTTGAAAGTTTAGTACTTTAAAAATGTGTCAGATTAAAACTTGTTTAGAAACAGCTAGGTAGCTGGAGATTAAAAATATAAGCTCATTTGCAAGGTGGTTAATACATGTATAAATACAACAGAGTTGACTGTATATAGGTATGTTGTAGTTACATTAAGCTATTCTGTTCTCTGCTTCATCTCTTAGGTTGGTGGAACAAGAATGCCTACACGCAGCCACAGGAATCCAGTTTCCATAGAAACCAAAAGCAGTTGCTTGCCTGCTCAGCAAGTTGAAACTGAAGGAGTGGCTCCACATAAAAGAAAAATAACTTGAGGACTGTACTATGGAAAATTAAATTAAAAAAAAAAAACAGTTATAGCAATGTTTAATTTAGAAAAGTTTGAGGGGAAATAATCAGTAGGTAAGAGGAACATTTTTCCTGTAGTAGCTAGAGTGCCTTGAAAAAATGTGTTGGCTATGTGAAGGAATGTTTCAACTAAAATGGAATGTTATGCTTTTCGCCCTTAAAGTTTAAGGAAGATCTTGATATGTTTTAACATTATCATGGCAGGGAAATATATAAAGAAGAAAAATATTTTTACATTAAACCTTTTCTAAAAATTGTAAATAGAAAAATAATTTGCTTTTTTATCAAGAACAACACTTAATCATTATGTATTGTGTTAGTTATATTGCCAGTCTGTTGAGACTGACTCAAAAAGTTAAATGTTGCCACAGTTGTTGTTTTTTTTTGTTTTTTTTTTTTTTTGAGACGGAGTCTCGTGTGTCTCCAGGCTGGAGTGCGTGGCGTGTCTCGGCTCACTGCAAGCCTGCTCCCGGTTCACGCCATCTCCCGCCTCAGCCTCCAAGTACTGAGACTACAGCACCGCCACCACGCCCGGCTAGTTTTTTTTTTTAGTGAGACGGGTTTCACCATGTTAGCCAGATAGTCTCGATCTCCTGACTTCGTGATCCACCCGCCTCGCCTCCAAAGTGCTGGGATTACAGGCTTGAGCCACCGCGCCCGGCCAGACAGTTTTTATATACTCCTTTAAAATGATGAATGTTGCAGGTTAATAAAGTTAATACCTTTAAAAACTTGGTGAAATTCCATTAAAGAAGCCAAAAATAAAAACTCCCTGCCTCTGAAAAGTCAGATTGGTATCTTCTTGTTTGGCAACCATCAGTTTGTTTTAAAAAAAAAGAAAAAAATTTGATGGTGTAACATGTTTGATGACAAATGCCTCTATCTCTAGATTCAAGCTGAGTGTTGAAATACACTGCTGAAAGCAAAGAGATTGGTATGTTTTCCAGAAAAAAAGTCAGTGTCATTGCTCCAAATGACAAGGTTAATGTGGTAAAGCATAAGCCTTTTTTTTTTTTTTTTGAGACGGAGTCTCGCTCTGTTGCCCAGGCTGGAGTGCAATGGCATGATCTCAGCTCACCACAACCTCCGCCTCCCAGGTTAAAGCGATTCTCCTGCCTCATCCTTCCGAGTAGCTGGGACTACAGGCACCTGCCATCCCTCTTGGCTAATTTTTTTTTTTTTTGTATTTTTAGGAGAGACAGGGTTTTACCGTATTTGCCAGGCTGGTCTCAAACTCCTGACCTTGTGATCTGCCCACGTCGGCCTCCCAAAGTGCTGGGATTACAGGCATGAGCCACCGTGCCTGGCCAGCATAAGCTATTTTTATCCTCATCTATACTGATTGATTTAAGTTTTCCAAACCTACAGATGAATTTGGAAAAGGGGCATAATCAGGTGATGTTGCTGCAGCAAATTTGGACTTAAGAAACGACAGGCAGGGCTGGGCGCAGTGGTTCACACCTGTAATCCGAGCACTTTGCGAGGCTGAGGCAGGAGAATCACTTGAGTCCAGGAGTTCGAGACCAGCCTGGGCAACATAAACCTCATCTCTACTAATAAAAAAGTTAGCTGGGTGTGGTGGTATGTGCCTGTAGTCCCAGCTACTCAAAAGGCTGAGGCAGAAGAATTGCTGGAGCCCAGGAAGTCGAGGCTAAAGTGGGTCATGATCGCACCACTGTACTCAGCTTTGAGTATCAGAGTGTGACCCTGTCTCAAAATTTAAAAAAAAAGGACAGGCTTGTTTAATCTTTAGAACCCTTACACAAATTTTCAGAAATTATGTATGTCATTTGTAAAATACAAGTTTTATAATCCTAGATAATTGCTTCGCATTGAAATTTTTTAGCTATTTTATGTTAAAGAATGGCTATTCTTTCAGCCTAATTTCTGAGAAATTAGACCGGAAAATCTCCTCAAATATTGTAACAGTTGAAAATATCTTCAACTACTAAGTTTTGTTTTATTTTGATTTTTTGTTATAAAACTTTTAAGTTATTTAAGAAGTAGTTATTAGTAAAATTGTATCTTGATAAATCATTTCCTCATCCTGCCATTCCCTTTTTTAAAACACTGAGTTTTTTTTATTCCTTAAGTCATATATCCCAGAAATGTTTTGGTTGTGAATCATTTCGCAGTGAGCCAAGGGAGAGGCGGGGATTCCCTTGAAATGCCCTTTTACTTTTTTTTTTATTTTTAATGCACATTTGTGTGCACCAGAATGGAATGTGCTCTTTTAAAAAAACTGGAACAGTGGTTGCTTCAGACTTCTGAATACCAGAAAGACTTGCCTTTTAATTTTTAAATATTACTTTTTACATTGTAAAATGTGTTATCTTACCCATATATTTGAATAACACTGATCATATATAAAGCTAGTTTTTTGCTTATGCTTAGCGAAGCCTTTTTTTTTAACATACATTTGATCTTGCTTTATGTTCTTTTTCTTGATTTTTAGTACTGAGAATTTATAAGCAAGAAGTAACTGACAATATGTTTAGCAGGATGTAATCCCAGCTACTTGGGAAGCTGAGGTGGGAGGATCACTTGAGTCTAGGAGTTCGAGGCTGCAGTGAGCTACGATGGTACCACTGCACTCCATCCTGGGAGAGAAATCAAGACCCTATCTCAAAAAATGAGCAAGATTAAAAAAAAATAATAATAAGACTTAATGCTAGCAAGGACGCGATCCACCTGGCCCCTTATACCTCAGCAGTGAAGGTGTAATTTATACACACCTCTTTGAAAACACTTTAATTCAGTAAGTGTTTGAGTGCAACTGTGTGCCATGCACTCCAAAGTAGGTCCCCACAGTTACTCTCTCACAGCATTGTTTTTTCAGGTCTCACCATATTTCTTTGACTTCTCTCTTTTCTTATAGATTACAAGTTCTGCAAGGACAAGGGCATATTTGTTTTGTTCACCATTAAGTAGTAAACACCTAATACAGTGCCTGTCATGAAGTTGCTCGGCAGATATTAGATGTATGAATGTGTAGATATCCAAGTGTTGTTTTTTTTTTTCAGGAGATCACATTCTAGTGGAAGACATTATATTGATTTATGTAAAAAGTGCTTTGATAAAGTAAGAAAGTCATCCAACCAGATCTTCATATTTAAGGTTTTCTGAGATAGAGCTTGAGCTGAGTCTTTTAAATATAGTAGGATTTCTAAGGGAAAAATTAAAGGTCTTCCACAAAAAAACTAAGTGAAACTAAGCAGCCTATGAAAAGGTGAAAGTTGGAGAGATTGTAGGCTATGAACGTGGGAGATGAGAGAAAACTACAGGATAGGGACAGAAACACCATACTACGACATTTGAACTTTGTCCTGTGCAATGTGGGAACCAGTAGTGAAGGTTAATTAACTGACAAGATCAGATGTGTATTTGAAAAGGGCTCTTGTTGGCATTAGTCTAGAGAATGCAGTGGAGCTGGGAAATGAAGAAATGTTGGGAGCCTGTGTTGTAGTAATTGAAAAATGACAATGGCCCAGAATTAAAGCAGCAAGAGTAGGAGTGGGCTCAAGTGATGTATAGGGAAAAAAAAAAAAAAAAAAAACTCAGTTTTGTGGTGGGTCGGGAGAGTAAAGTATGGCTTCTGGGTTTCTCATTTGAGATACTGAGTAAATGATGGTGTTACCCATTGAGAAAATAGTGTGGTTAGAGTGGGAAGAAAGTTAATTTAAAATGTTCATTTTTTTTCAGTCATTTCTCCTTTTGGATTCTAGGTTTGTGTGCTATATTGGTTATAACCAATTTGCTGAATAATAAATTATCCCAAAACTTAGCTGCTTAAAACAACAAACATTATCTCACCGTTTCTGTAAGTCAAAAGTCCGGGTCTCTCATGAAGTTGCAATCAGGCTCTTGGCTGGGGCTGCAGTCATCTGAAGGATTAGTAAATTGCTAAGCCCACGCTTAAGCTCCACCTTTGAAGGGAGAGGTTTGGAAAGAATTTGTGAACATATTTAATCACATATGCTATGAACAGGTTTAGGGGAGGGAGAGCATACTGTGTCTGTAGTTTCTAATGGACATGTTAAGATGTTTTCTATGCATTATAGGTATATAGTAGTTTTTTGTTTTGTTTTGTTTTTTGCTATATAGTTTTTAATCAAACCTTAACGTATTTGATATCAGGATTTATTGAGTTTCTTGTTGAGATGTAGAAATAAAGGGGATCCATTTCATTTATCCATCTACTGTTGCCATGTCCCCTTCACTCATGTCCAGACTACTTATCAAGGTATATAATGGCAGACACAATTGCAAGGCATCTCTCTGGGATTTGGATCTGCCCTGCCACAAAAAAATTACTGAAAGAGTCAAGAACCAGAGCTGTGTTTCTAAGAGGGGTGGATCTCTAGATTACTTCATCAAACAGATTTAAACAGTCAAGAGTTTGCCTTGACAGATGTGTTTGCTTTAATATATGAGCTATAGCCTGGTTGATTCTTTAAGAAAATAGGAGGAAAGCCCGAGTATAAATTTATTGCTGTTTTGAAAGTGAAGAACCCTTATAAAGATTCTGTGATTAGTGGGTTGACTTTCTTCCATTTTCTTCAAAATCTGTTTCTTGTGGGGTTGGGGAGAAGGAATATTTTCTATTCTCCCTATCCTAGATTTTACTTATTTAAAAATATACAGCACTGGAGGCCGGGTGCAGTGGCTCACGCCTGTAATCCCAGCACTTTGGAAGGCTGAGGCGGGTGGATCACGACATCAGGAGATTAAGACCATCCTGGCTAACACAGTGAAACTCTCTCTCTACTAAAAATACAAAAAATTAGCCAGGTGTGGTGGCAGGCACCTGTTGTCCCAAGTACTCGGGAGGCTGAGGCAGGAGAATGGCGTGAACCTGGGAGGTGGAGCTTGCAGTGAGCTGAGATCGCACCACTGCACTCCAGCCTGGGCGACAGAGCAAGACTCCATCTCAAAAAATAATATACATCACTGGAGAGTATATACACATAATCCTAAGACATACACCAGTAGGGCAAAACCACATTGATAACATGAGTATCCAGTCCCAAGCGCTGCATTAATGCAACATCTGCTCTAGCCAGGCTTTAACATTGCATAAATTAGCTATTCTTGTCCCTGCCTGCATGCTGTTGTACATGATTCTGTGTCTACTTGGATTTATTATCACCTATCAAAACCTTGCCTGTCCTCTGTTGAATTGGTAATGCATTTTTTGAGTATCTATTGGATGTAACA